TCCCTCCCTCCCTCCCTCCCTCCCTCCCTCCCTCCCTCCCTCCTCCTCCTCCTCCTCCTCCTCCTCCTCTCTCTCTCTCTCTCCCTCTCCCTCCTTCTCTCTCTTGGCTGCATCCTCCCAATCTTCCGCCTCCTCTGCGCATGTCCTGCCGCATCCCATTCGCAACTCTTCGCTGATTTCGAAGACAGAGTGGACCCCTGGACTCTCATCAAGCCTTGACCCTGTCGACCCCCTTCTCCCCTATTCCTCTACCCCTCCTTGTCCCTACTACTACCCCACCGGCAAGCCGGTAGGCTCGGAGGGACACGTGCCAAGGGGACAAGCATTCCATGATCTCAAGGACGAACAGAGCTAGCGAGAGGTCGCAACAGATCACCTGCATGTCTCATCGGAGAGATGAGCTAGCGAGAGGTTGCAACAGATCATCTACATGTCTCATCGGAGAGATGAGCTGGTGAGAGGTTGCAACAGATCATCTACATGTGTTATCGGAGAGATGAGCTAGTGAGAGGTCGCAACAGATCACCTGCATGTGTTATCGGAGACTCAGATGCTGACCCTAATGGCGAGTCATTTCAAAGTTGAGGTAGGTTTATGACTTGCGTAAGAGATGGAGTCAGAGCAGGGTGACAACTTCTGGTGCCAGTGACATGTTCTGATACGGCTGGGAAGAGCTCAGAGCCATGAGTCAATTCAACTCTCGAAAGTGATCACTATGTTGCATTGATTGCTAGCAGAATGATGACCTTGCTCGAATGTAAAAGACATGGAAATCACGTGAATTTGGCTCATAATTTAACAGTATCTAATATTATCACAGAAATTTCGACTCGTTCGTCTCATCTGGTGAGTGTGTCTCAGATCCTTATTAGCGTCTCGTCATGAAAGATTCTTGAAGAACTGCACTTCATCGCATCATCATGTCGTTCACCAGAAGGCAGGATATGATCTGTCGTTTGCAATATTGTTGATAATGACTCCAAGAACAAGCAGAAGCTGCAATCAGAGCTGAGTATACCAGCGCAAATCGATTATTAAATCACCACACAGTCAAAGGTGACAGGAATAACAATGAAGAGCCAGCCCATGTTTCTGACCTGATGCGCAAAATCATTACCAGCGACAACTTTGGAGGCAAAACTCACTAGCGGGTCACCCGCTAGGAAGATGACAGCAGCAGCACAGGCAGGCGGGTGCAGTAGCCCTGTGAGCTTGTAAGAAGCTGCTTGCAATCATTCAAGCCTTCACCTGTCTTTGCCATGATCATGGTCGACACAGCCGGCGCAAGAGGCGTCGCTACCCACTGCCCATCTACCGTCACCTCAAGCTCACGAGCAGAGGAAACATGGGACAACAGTACAACTTGGGTCAGCGTCGCATCGGCATAATCCAGCAAATCATCAAAGAATGAAACGAGCAAGGAAAGAAGTCTCATTAGTCCTATGCATGCCCACCTGAGGCAAATATGCACGCCCTCCGCCGTTTCCAGAGAGATAGCTGATGGAAATCGCAACCACCGCAGATATGAGATGTCCAAAGAGAACATTTCTGGGCTGTACAAGAGGCGAAGAGGATGACGAGAAGAGCATGGCAGCAAGAGCGGCCATGGAGTTGAGCAGGACGAGGATGTACCTGACAAGTACGAGATCAGGGCAACGAAAGTCTCGAAGGCCTTCGGATACCCTCCTTCCAGCTTTGATTGGTTGGACGAGTAACTGATCCGCTTGAAGACTTCATTTAACCCTACAAGAACAACGTCATCTCCTCCTCCGAGGTTTTATCTCACCTGTAAGAAGGAGGATGGATACAAATGTACCGAATGTGGTCCAGAAAACAAAGTACCAATCATGACCAGGAGGAATTTGAGCCCCCGGCATGCCTCGAAACTTCTTGAAGTACTTCTTGATGAAATGATAAGTTCGAAGCGTCCAAGTCTGGTTGATCGTAAGATAACTACACGGCCATGAGCAGCCCACGCACATGATTCATTTCTTCTTGCTCTTCTTTCTTGATCAGTTTTCGCAGTCTCTTGGGTTGGAGGTGACTTGAGCCGTTAACATGTACAGGTTTGATCGCCTGGAACGCAGCATCGCACTCTCTGGCTGCTTCTTGCATCTGTATCGACCAGTAGGCCACCCTTGCAAGCTCCTGCAGCCGCTGAGCTGAGACGACAGGCAGTCTCAAGTGTAAAGACCTTGAGAGTGTCTGTCAAATGACCGTTGGAGCTCAGCGCTTTCCAGTTTTGATTCGGTCTTCGATATTTCCTACGACTGCGTCAGGTTTATAGTCACTTGTGGCTCGATCTCGCACTTGGTCTTAGCACGGTACATCATCACGATAGCCAGGAGGTGACCAGTATCAGGGTCAAGCACGGGAACCCCTGGACGATAGTGATTTCCTCGTTTCCTTGGTACCTCCCACACACACCTACTGACACATCGAAGATCTGCTTCGCGGAGACGACTCTCCGATCAAACATGCTGCAACAACTATCACGACAAGACATCAGAACGGAGGGCAGCAACCTGTTCTCGTCATCTTCTTGCATGAAGGAAAGATCATGCCAATCCAACTCCTGATGTTGTTTCAATTGAAGGGTCGGCACGATCCTTAAAGACCTTGCGGGCCCATGCAAGCCCGGGGAATCCTTTCCCTTTCTCGTACCTGTCGCGAGAACACAGTAAAGCCGGGAAACAGTCACGCAAAGGTTACCATGTGTGCTTGTCGAGCGCCAAGTCAATGAAGCTGTCGAGCTGGCGGTTCCAGTCATTCCCGATATAGCCCATGGCAGCTGACGTTTGAAACTGCTCGGTTAGTCGATGAACATGACCACTCCAACTGCCGCCTGAGCGTCATCAACTTTTGACTTCAGTGGTAGCTGACCGGAGTCTCTTGGCCATCGGCTCGCCGTCTCCTTCCCCGTCGTTGCTGCGTCGGTCTACACTTGCTCGTCCTGCGCTGCCTGTAGCCGGGTTGCCCCAAGCTGGCGCGTATCTTCTCTCAGCAGTTCCATGAATATCCTGAGCAGCAAGCCATGAGTTTGGCGGCGACTCAGAAGAGCTTGAACAGTACGACAGAGTTGGCTTACATGTATGTTGAACCCCCGAGCTGACCGATTGTGAATGGCGTGAATCAACCTGCTGACGTCTTTGCTCCTCCGGAAACCTGATGACGCGAATCTCTCCTCGTCTATCAACTGTTACCGCACAGACGACATCACATGTCCAACCTTCAGTGCCATGCGCTAAAGCCTCGTGCCGATGCTGCCGCAGCCAGACTTCAGCATAGGCGAACCCGGTGCTTTCACACGCCTTCTGCAGGAGGTCCGTGATCTGACAGCACCAGCCCCGTCACTGGCCTCACTCAGACTCTCTTGCAGTACCGGGTCTATCATGGAGATCCGATACCAGCGAACAGTCTGAGAGCCATCATCCTTCTGCTCCTGCCGTCAGCAGCCGATGGGGATAGGAAGGGGCACCGTCTGCACGCTCATCTCTACCGACCGCCTTTGACGACGAGAAAACTCCATGAGCCCTGACAGGCTGTCTCGTCAGTGGGCTCCAGCCGCCTCGTCACCTTCACCTTGACTCTTCATCATCCCGCCCGCAGAGGAGATGGCAGAGGAGATGGTTCCCGCATATCGTTTCATCCATGACACCGGCTGCAGCATCAGGCTAAGGTCACCAGCTGACTGTCTGCCAACCTTCTCACCGTCTTCTCTTCCGATACGTCAGTTGGCGATGGTGTTGTTTGTCGGGTTGCGAGTAACTTGGTATCATCAAGCTCCTTAGATTGACGTACTGATATAGCTGGCTGAATCTCCTGCACCTGCTCCTGTCCCTGTCCCTGTCCCTGCTCCTGCTCCTGCTCCTGCTCCTGCTCCTGCTCCTGCTCCTGCTCCTGCTCCTGCTCCTGCTCCTGCTCCTGCGCCTGCGCCTGCGCCTGCGCCTGCGCCTGCGCCTGCGCCTGCGCCTGCGCCTGCCCCTGCCCCTGCCCCTGCTCGGGCTTTGCCTCCCTCTCTTCGTCAGACTCGCTGTGAAAAGCGTTGTCGACGGTACGAGTGTCAACAGGCTCGACAGGCAGTGTGATGCGTACATCTTCGATGCTGGCGAGACGAGCGTCACCCCAGGGAACGTCGCGAGCTTGAGCGAAGTACACGTCCTCAGACTGCCAGCGAAACGACGAGGACGAGCTGGTTGACGAGATCATGGTGTCCATTTCCATGGAGGAGTTCTCGCTCGAGTCCCTGCTGTCAGCCATTTTAAACTGCCAGGTCTCACGCCTGCTCAGATTGACTCTTGCACAGGTCTCACGCCTGCTCAGATTGACTCTTGCACATCATGTCAAGGCAGTTGAGTGAAAGCCCCTATGGTCTAGGTCGAAATGCTCGAGACTTGGAGCGTGTGCAGGAGATCTGACTTTCATTTTCGTTCGTCTTCCTGGCTTGTTGTCTTCCTGTCTCGTTGTCTTCCTGTCTCCTGTTTTCCTGTCTTGTTATCTTGCTATCTTGCTATCTTGCTGGCTTGCTGTCATGTTCGCTCTGCTTCACGCTTGTCGCATAGCCTTGTGCTATCTCCCTCCCAGCGCCTCCATTTCAAACCAACGCGGCGCATTCGCTGCCCCCACGCCCTAAGCCCCTGACTCTCCTAGGCGAGCTTGGTCAATGCGGGTCTGCCCCGGCAGGAATATCCACATCCATGGTGCGATCAGTCTGCATCGTGGGAGGGACGCACGGGAACGAGCGGCATGGCGTTCACATGGTGAGACAAGACACATGGTCTCACAGCTCATCGTCTTTAGCACGATGAACTTGTGTCGCTTCGTGACATAACCTAGCCATAATCTAGCAGCTCGTTCAGCGCTTAACGCAGCCTCTTGCAGGTTCGCCACTACCAAGAACACTCGCGCCTAATTGAGAGGAAGACCTTCACGACTTCTCTGCTCATCGCCAACCCCATGGCGGTGGCGAACAAAGGGACTGGCGCAGGTCTCGTCATGCTCCGTTGCGCTCGTTCGCTCGCTCACGGCACGGCAGGAACCCGATACGTGGACGAGGACTTGAATCGATGCTTCCTGAAGCAGACCTTGGCTTCAGCTGAGAGTGCGACAAGTGTGGAGGGAGCGAGAGCAAGAGAGGTGCGAGGATGAGGCAGGCCCCCAGATATGATACATGCGAATCAGATCAATCAGATTCTGGGGCCCAAAGCATCTCCCGAACCAGGTCACCAGTGCATGGCTGATCTCTTGTCTTTGACGTGCTGTAGCTTGTGACTTCATCTTCGATCTTCACAACACCACGTCCAACACCGGGATACTGGTCACTTTGCTCACTTTGATTGATCGCTTTGGATTGTGATACGAGCGGGTGCAGCTCTGTTATCATCCCACCGACAAACTCTCTTACCTCATGTCTGTGAGTCGCTTTCCCTCCTCCTCTTCATATCCCTCACGCGTCAGTGCTTGCTTCACCTGCCGTGCTCGGGTGTCATCAGGAGTACTTGTTCTCCAAGAATCCCCACATCCGCGTTTGTCTATGGCCGGAGGGAGACAGGCAGGTCGTTGTGGTTCCTCTCTCGTGCGCTCATCTCCAGCAGAGCTCTTCTACCGACCGTGGCCAGAAGTGGCATGACAGTGGAGGTAGTGTGTGCAGCTTAGAGGAGGAGGGGCTGAGATCGCGTTGCTAGGTAGGCGCCGTGTCGCATAGTACTGTGCATGCTAAGAAGCTCATGGAGACCATGGAGGTGAAGAGAGGATCTTGTGTGCCAGTGCTGAGCAAGCGGCAGCTGATTCAACATGGTCTTGACTTCATCGACATGTTCAACATGCGGATGGAGGAGCTAGGAGCCTCGGCCGACTTCTCCGTCACAGATGTGAACATCTCCGAGCTGGGCAAGGTCCCCATCTTCACTGGGGCAGGCAAGATAGACTACCCGAGGTACCTCAGACGCGCAGAGCTCCTGCTTGATAGTGAGCCATGGCAATGGCAGAGACAGCGACGGAAACATCATCGGATTCATCCATCCCAACCTGCAAGGCATAGCAGAGCTACAGGTGGGAAAGGAGGAGGGGAGAAGAGTCTCATAATGCGCAGGAGGGCAGCACGATACAAGAAGGAGACGATCTCTTCCAGGCAAAGCACTTCATTTCAGCCCCCTGCTCCTCCTTATCCCCTGCTTGTCAGATGCTCGATGGCTCCGTCCGGCCCTTCGTCATGGAGGTGCTGCCGTGCGCTCCTATCTCCTCGATGCTAATCTCTGCTCAGGTCGCCCTGAAGGAGGCGGTCGGGAACGCGGCGCTCTACCCGCTCTTCGTCAACGAGGCCGCCTACTACGAGCAAGGCAGCTGCTGCTTGCCCTCGCTCAAGCATGATACTTTCACGCAGGGACTGCAATGATATTATGCCGCCAAACTAGCTTCTCTCCCGCATGAACGCACCTTCCTCCTCTTGGAACGCCAGCATATAGCGGTCATGATACGCGTCTACTAGCCCCAGCAGACGCTCCCCGTCCGGCAGAGGACGGAGAAGCTTCTCGAGGAGAGGACGGACTTGCGGCCAGTTGACCTCGTCGTAGCTGCAGCAACGAATCGGCATGTGGACGAAGGAAGGAGCAGAAGAGTCGGGAGTATAACAGACGGAGGGAGAAGCTGAGAAATAGGAGGATGTAGAATAGGAGAAGGATAGAAGTGTTGTCGTACCCTGGTTGAGGAAGGTGGGCGTCTATGAAGCCCTCCAAGGAGTTTGGAATCTCCCAGCTGTGAAGGTGTGAGGAGACGAAGAGGAGGGAGGGAGGGTTTGTCATACTGCATTCTGTCGATTCGATCTCGAGAGCCGTGTCGGGGAATGAGCTCGACGTCACCTGGGAAATGCTGCCATGCTCCAACCTAGGACAAGAAAGTTGGAACGATGAAACAAACGAATCCCAAGTGAGATCAGTGCGGGAAAGGAGGTGAGGGGGGGGGGGAGGAGAAGGTTCAGACGGAGGGGGGTGAGAGGGGAGGAGAGTGGGAACCTTAGAACTCCACAATCGCTGATCGAGGTGCCACATCTCAAGGTCCGCGTGCTTGAGATTCGACGCCACATTTCGCCTCGCCTTCTCCTCCCCCAAGTCGTGAATGATTCGGTTCTCCACCGCCATCTGTCCCTCACGTTCAGCGACCAACACGCAGCTCAAGCAGCCTCTCCTCACCTGCAGGATGTTGTCTATCCCAGAAGCTCGAAGAGCTTCTTCCTCACTCCGAGGGAGATTCATCAGCTGCCAGCCCCGTCATCCTTCCTCCCACTGTCTTCAAACCTCCACCTCTTCCTCCACCCCCACCTCCTTCCTCTCTCCTCCACCCTCCCCAGTGTACCTCTCGCCAGACTTGAGCTTCGGCCCCGGCGTAAGAGATGGGAAGATGCAGAAGCCGGTGATCGGCCTCGACGCCTGCTCCCCTGCGCTCGCATGACTCGCCTCTTCCTCCAGACCTTCACCATACCGAGACAGCGCAGGGGCTCCCAGTCGCACTTGATCAATGTGGTCGGGGGCAGAAGCAAGACCCTCCTCGGGAAGCAGGAGAGGAGCGCAGCAGAAAGGGTTGTACAGGTGCAGCTTCTTGTTCCAGTCCCTGTGCGAGGGCTCAGGGAAAGAGGAAGAGGAAGGAGGGGGCATAGGAACTAAGACTAGGAAGACAAAGATGTGTGCATGGAGCAGCAGCAGCAGCAGCAGCAGCAGCAGCAGCAGCAGCAGCAGAGGAAAGGAGTAGCAAGGAGGACAGACAGGAGGAGCGAGAGGAAGAGGAAAGGCAAGAGGAAGAGAAGGCAGTCATGTCTAACCTCTCGGAGTCGAAGTGCAAAGCAGACACAGGGATCAGATCAGCATCGCTCGTCAGCAGGTAGTCGTCGTCCTTAATCCCCTCCACCAGGCACGCATACAGCCTTCCCACCTGCCCTCCAGCTCATGATGCTGTCAAACTGCAGGACATCGATGTTACCTGGGCGATGGCGGCTGTGTTGATGGAGGAGGAGGAGGGAACGACCTCTACGCGGAATTTCATCTTTCTCAGCATGTCCAGCACGACCTCCTGTCGGCTCTCAGGCAGGGGCTGCTCCCACGACTTGCCGATGAGGAGGACGAGGGGCTGGAAGCGCATGAGCTTGTCCCATACGAGGGCTGCGAGGGGGAGGATGAAGGCGTACTCCGAGTTGCTGTCCGCCGACATCACCGCCCAGCGCTTCCTGTAGGGCTTGGGGGGCACGAGCGGGCGCATGGCATCGAGCTTGAGGCGCTCGCGGAGGAAGAGGAAGGAGTCGATACCCTGGTAGACCTGCAGCATTTCAATCCTCCCCAGCTCAAAGAGCTCTGCCACTTGAGCTGCTGCCGAGCTGAGGGAGGAGGGGGAGCGCGAGGAGAGCGCAAAGTCCACGTGCTCCTCTACCCTCTCACCCCCGTCCTCGTGCACGAGGAGACACTCTACCACAACCTCCTTCGTCTCCTCCCGGTCCACCACCCGAGCTTTGCCCCGCCCTCCGAAGGAAATCTCCCCCGAGTAAGAGTTCACGAGCAGATACACCAGACGGAAGGACGCGGCATGCGCGGCCACCATGCCGCCGGCACGAGCATGCACCTCGATGGTATGCCATCCGATGCTCAGGTCAACCACCCGCGTCTTCGTCGCCTCCTCAGCCACCTGCAGCTCGGCTGCCTGCTGCCCGTTGATCATCAGCACAGCTGCTGCTTGCTCCCGCTTATTCCCCTTCCTCCCCTTCACTTGCAACTCCAGCTCGACCACACACTGGGGGCTGTCACACACCACATGCTGCCCCTGCTGCGGGTGTACTATCCTGACCTCCAGCTCTCCATTGCCTGCCCGTCCTCTTCCTGCTTCTGTGCTCCTTCCCTTCCAGAGCTCCTCCAAGCTCTCCGCTTGTTCCTGCAGCGACTGCTCCATGCCAGGCTCCTGCCGAGCAAGTCCCGAGCTTGCACTCGTTGTCTCGTGCTCGAGCTTGTGGATCGTCGCAGGAGCCTTGCGGCGAGGAGGCGGAGGAGGAGGAGGTGGTGGTGGTGGTGGTGTATCAAGAGGAGGTGGTGGCGGCGAAGGAGCAGGAGGCTTTCCCTTGCGTTGAGGGCGAGAGGCCTTCTCCTCTCTTTCTTTCGATCGCTTGCTCTTGTCCTCGCGCTCTACCTCCTGCCTCCTGAACCAGAAGGCGATAAACACCGAGCTCTGCTCAACCGCCAGCCCTTACCACTCTCTCCCTTCATCCGCCTCGCTCCTCCACCTGCTCTCAGCTCCTGCGCTTGCACCTTCCTCGGGTTCCCCTTCCGTGATCGAAGGATCTTCATCCCAGCCGAAGGCTGACGGGCCATGCGCTCCGTAGATCGACTGCAGCAGGCGAACACAGTGAGCGAGGAGGAGAAGGAGGAGGAGAGGGAGGAGGAGAGGGAGGAGGCCAACGAACAGGGCTCAAGATAGCACAGGATAAAAGGATAAAAGCATGCAGCAGGGGTAGAATAGAAGCATGCAGCAGGGGTAGAATAGAAGCATGCAGCAGGGGTAGAATAGAAGCATGCAGCAGGGGTAGAATAGAAGCATGCAGCAGGGGTAGAATAGAAGCATGCAGCAGGGGTAGAATAGAAGCATGCAGCAGGGATAGAATAGAAGCATGCAGCAGGGGTAGAATAGAAGCATGCAGCAGGGGTAGAATAGAAGCATTAAGCAGGGGTAGAATAGAAGCATGCAGCAGGGGTAGAATAGAAGCATGCAGCAGGGGTAGAATAGAAGCATGCAGCAGGGGTAGAATAGAAGCATGCAGAAGGGGTTAAGGGTTAGAGAGAGAGAGAAGGTATGTAGAGGATCTGACCTGTCTGTGCGCAACAACAGCAGCAGCTCTCATGTCTAAATGCAACGTCATCGCAAGTAGCGGGAAGGAAACGACTACCAGTCTCTGTCTCCTCCTTCCTCCTCTCAACCGCCCGCGGCGTGACGTGCACGCATGGCAGTTCACATTCAGAGATCGACATGCCCCCGTTGTGACAAAGTTTGAGATGCCACTGAGAAGACACGTCAATAGGGATGAGAACCATCACAAGAGGAAAGTAAGACATAGATGATCATCGTTGTCTTTCTTAGGATCATCTTTGAGACTTCACCGGGCAAAAACACAATACTTTACAGCACATCACATCACATTGCAAGATTCTGATTGAGAACAACATGCAACTTTCGGCAGGTTCACCTTGGGATAGTCCGGGCATGATGATGGTTTCACATCCCAGTGGAAGTTCCATCCGCTGCCTCCTCTCCTCCCCCCCTCCCCTGCGCGATCTGGGATCGGCTTTTGCTTCATTGCAAGCTTGTCGTGGGCCCATCCCGTTACTGTAGAGCTTCCTGCCCTTTCATGTGCTCCATCTACACCCCTTCTCCCTTCCTCCTCCTCCTTCACCCTACCCTCCTCCTTCCCCCCGAAGCTCGGGGCCTTCTTCTTTCCTCCTCCCTCCTCCTTCACCCTACCCTCCTCCTTCCCCCCGAAGCTCGGGGCCTTCTTCTTTCCTCCTCCCTCCTCCTTCACCCTACCCTCCTTCTCCCCCCCGAAGCTCGGGGCCTTCTTCTTTCCTCCTCCCTCCTCCTTCACCCTACCCTCCTTCTCCCCCCCGAAGCTCGGGGCCTTCTTCTTTCTTCCTCTTCCAGCTCTAGCAGCAGCTACTTACAGCAACGGTCATATCGTGCAGCAGCCAGCCAGACTGACCTTCTTGCTGCTTGTCGCCATTCGCTTCCTCGACCACCTCGGTTTCTACGTCGCTTGACACAGATGTCACTCTCCAGCCACCATCCACCCTCTGCTCCTCATGCTCCTTCTCAAATCTGCTCCTCCGCCTCCTCCGCCTCCACCACCACCTCCTCCTCCTCCTCGCTTACAGGATCATGGAGCGAACCTGGGATCTGATGTTCGCCTGAATGGCGTCAAAGGAAAACGAGAGCAGTACAGGAGGCAGGAAGAAATCGTCAGGGCGTGGCATAGCACTCTGAAAGATGGCGAAGAGAAGGAGACAGAGGAAGAGAGAAAACAGGAAGGATGTCCATACAACCAACTAGGACGGAAGAAGGCGGGAGGGAGGGAGCAAACCTTTTCTTGTTGCCACCACTTGCTGCAGACCTCGTTGAATTTTGAGAAAACCTCACGCCAGTCCAACTCAGCTAGCCAAGAGTCATTGAAAACCCACACCAACACTCAGTCGAGCACTCAGCCAATCTTCATGTCTCATTTACATCTCCAACATGTTCATCGAGAGTTCATTACTGCATTCCCCAGCTCATACTCCTTGACCTCTTCTCTTCCATGTTTCTCATTCATCAAGCTGTATATCTTTTTGTCTCCCTGTCTACTTATCAAACCGCACACTTGTTTCATTACAGATCTACACAGCTTCTCAACCACTATCACCATCATCATATCCCATCAGCTTCTCAACCACTATCACCATCATCATATCCCATCAGACAGTCTCCACTTGCAAGATGGCATGCTATCTTCACTTTGCTACATTCCCTCTCCACTTCCTCTTATCCCTTACCGACGTTGGACGACAACAAATGTCGGACATCATGAATCACTGGGACCTGTACAGCAGACAATCATCGCTAATTTGAGTACTCTGGCCTCCAATTCTCAGTTATGCACCAAGAACAAAATAAATAATTAGTGCTCTTTCATAATAAACCACTTCAATGTCAATGTCAATGTCAATGTCAATGTCAACAAGAACGACACGCAATGTAAACCATAAGAAGATAACAATTTCAATCCATCATCCCAAGAGCATCTCCATCAACACAATCAGCATCGTCGTCGGTATACTCTTATAGTCATGATTCGTTTCAATTTTCTCGTTCTCTTACATCCGCCTCTCGTTCCACGTCCCCTCTCCTCTTGCATTTCTCACCTTGCTCACATCTCCCAGCTCAAACTTTGCCACATACGGATCATCCAGCACAGGAACAGCATTCGCATCGAGAGCCTGCAGTTAACGACAAAGCGAGTGAGCGAGCAGGACGATAGACAGCGGAGGGAGCAGAGAAGCAGAACGGTGAGAGAGGTTACCTCAAACATCTTCTCAAACCAGAGGAGACTGGATGGTGCTAGGGAGGTTGAGATGAAGACCAGAATGCTTCTTTTCATGATGATTGCTTGCTCTGACAAGCTCATCCCTCGCCCACTTCCTCCTTCTCCCTCTCCCTCTTCTCCGTCTTCAGCCTCGAATGTGTCCATGACAAACCCCTCTGGCGATATCTGCATGACGTCTTCTATGATCGCCTGAGATGAAGGAGGATAGAGGAGGAGGAGGGGGAGGAGCACGTGGAGGGGGAGGAGGAGGAGTCAGTGTCACCTCTACAGCATATCATCTCACCTGACGCTCAGGATGATCGTTAACTTCTCCCACGAAGCTCCAAGTGAACTCCTGCAGCCTGACATCACATCCCCCCTCCAGCAGAACCGTGTCTTGCCTTCTCTTCCTCCCCCTCCTCCCTCTGAGCACTCGCTATGACTTGACGTCCATGGAAGCCTGACGGGACGCAAAGAATGCGAGACGCAGCTGAGTGACAGGGCCGAACTTCTTCCCCAGGTGCGCCGACGAGTTTGTAGTCGAAACAACCGTGAGATCGTAATACGAAATCCATTCCTGAGAAAACAAGTAAAGCAGAGATAAACTCAGAAGTAGGTAGTCTGTCTGAGATAACAAGAAGTATCAAACTCCATCCCCCTTCTCCACCTTCATCACTTTCATCGTCTCTATCATCATCGTCCTAATCTACACCTCCGGAATTCCCACAACCACACATCCGCATCTATCTAGCATATCCCTATCGCCTCCTCCCCCTGCTCCTCCTCCTTGAATGCGTCCTCACGTGTGTAGAACTGAGCAGCAGAAGAACAGTAATAATCCTCAAGATGAAAAGCACCGAGCCGCCCATCCCATCTCATATCGTCCAGATCGGCCAACAGCCTCTCTGTCTTTGACAACTTTCAGCCCAACGATTCACAACTCTCAGCACGTCTTACTTCATGAGAGATGGTTGGGTGGGTCCCGTTAACAGCAAGCAGAATCGTCTACAAGACAACAAGTCAACCGCCGTCGGCCCTGCCACTACAACAGCATCGCTCGATCAAGCTTCTCACGTTGGTACCCGACGGCAAAGAGGTCAACGAGCCAACGGAAACCTCAACTTCTTCGTGCGAAAATGCTGATTGCAACAGGTTGGAAACCTTGAAGCAGATTGGCAACTCCTACGTCAAGGACACGAGCACAGGAGACAAGAGACCTACCTTCTCCTCCAGATCCTCCCAGCGACCGTAGTCTACACCAACAGGAACCAAGAACACTGAAGTCTTGGTAGCAGGAAGAGCAGTCTTCTTCCTCCTCCTCCTGCACTCTTGAACAGCTGTCACGTTCTCGCTCTGCAACCTAAAGTGAACAGCGACTTCCTGCCGGGCCACCACGTTGACGCCGTCATGCAGGTCGAGACGCAACGTCTGCCAGAGCAGGAGGAGGGAAAGAAGAAGGATGAGCCACTGGATCGCACGAGATCGATCGCATCTCACCAGCTCTGATCCATACGGAAACTCCGGGATCTTGTAGCTCAACACGCCGGAGAATGCTTGAGTGACTATCTGGTCATCAGCAGCCAAGGAAGCCATTAGACCCTTGCTCGTCACCGTCAGCTCGCATATACACTCGTAGAGATGTCACCTGCTTCAGCACGTCCGAGCCTTCATAGCTTGCGACCAACTCCAGCTCACTCGCATGGCACAGGACCTGTCCTTCTCGAGGATGCAAAACAACCAGCCTAGCATTGCCTTGCTTCGAGCCAGCGCTTCGAGCACGCATGCACGGCAAGTGAGTCCACAGCAAGAGCAAGAGCACACATGCTCTGCATGCGATTCTTGCAGCCATTCGAGTTTCTTCTTGTCGCTCGCGCAGAGATGCAGCGAACTTCAAGGCACGTCAAGGGAGACAAGGAGGAACTCAACCCAGAGCATGATGCTCCCTATCGACATGCTGTATGCAGCATCTGCAGGCATAAAAAGAATTCAAAACATTGCCACTTTACTGTCCCATCTTGACACATCAACCCTTGCTGAAACGGCATAGTCTGACCAATCCCATGCCCATATCGAGATATTATCCTATTGATGATCACAACCTGCATCATTCTCCATCGCATGATCTAAGTCTTCAAGTGCTTGCTTCCTCCTCTGCTCTCCCCTCCCCTCCCATCCCCTCCCCTCTCCTCTGCTCTCCTCTGCTCTCATCTCCATTCCTCTCCCCTCCACCCCTCTCGCTTCCCCTCCCATCCCACACTCTCCTCTCCCCTCCCCTCCACTCACTTCTTCTCCTCTCCTCTCCTCTCCTCTCCTGTCCGCTATCTGTGAACAGATCTACATCTCGTTGCCTGCGGAGATGAGACACTGCTGGCATTTCCCCCCGACAAAAATAAATTAGCTCATCAACTATCCGTGAGTACTGCCAGTGTGGCCGGACCGCCGGGCGGCGGGCGGCTGGGCCGCCCGGCCCGGCCCGGCGGGGGGGGCGGCCCGGGGCGCGGCCGCGCGACTGCGGCGGCAGTCACCCGCTGGCCGTGACGGCCGGCCGGGGGGGGCCACTGACCCCCACAAAAAACTGTCACGACGGTCACCTCCCCAGCGGGGGGACGGACCGTGCCAGTGTGACGGACCGTGCCTGTCGGACTGGGAACTCCCAGTCGGACTGGGAACTTCCGGCGCCGGGAACTTCGGAACTCGGAACATTCGAGTCTGACGGCGGCCGCTGGGCGGCCCGGCCCGGCCCGGCCCGGCCCCCGGGGCCCGGGGGGCGGCCCGCCGGGCCGGCCGCGGAGCCTCTCAGCGGCCGCCGCAGGCTGCCCGGCCGGCGTCCGGCCCGGCCGCTCACTCAGCCGCCACTCAGCCGATGATCGTGACACCGTCCGGGTTCAGTCAACTTGCCGCAGTGCCACTGACGGTTCAGCCGTGACCCACTGTGACAGTCCGTCACTGCTGGCACTGTCACGCAGGCTACCGTACTACTAGGCTAGGCTACTCAGCGCGACCGCCGGACTCCCGGACGGATCGCGGCCAGTCGCCTGGTAGACGGTCGCCGGGTACCGTCACGCGTCACGGCGTACTAAGTCCGGTCCGATCGGGCCGCCGTGATCGGCCAGGCTCCTCGGACTCCGAGGCTCGCGGCCCACGGTCGGACTGCCGATCCGGCGGCCCCGGCCCCCGGCCGGGCCCCCGGCCGCCGCCCGGCACTGGCCTGAGGATCGATGCCCCTGGTCGACGCCGGTCCTCCGGTACTAGATTCATCATACTCGGACGATGAGACACCGTGTTATCCGGGAGGCTTCCTCTACTCAAGTTTTTACTTAACTTAAAAACTTTGTCCCTATGCCAGGTTTAATTGTTCCCTAGACTAGCAAGTAGGAGCCCCCTAGCTCGCTGTGTCGAGTGGTGATGCGCAACACGCCGCTGCGTGTTCTTATCATGCATCATGCGCTTGACATCCTAAGGAGCCTGCTGAGCTTCGGGCTGCTGCTGAGCACTATACTCGGATGGAAGGCTCTTTGGGATCTTCAAATCACCAACGGTCTGAGCTGGTACATATCGGTGGGGATAGGAAACTGCATTTACATTATCCGACACATGGTTGACGATGTCATGGACACCCATCACGTGCACAATGAAGAATGGTTGGAACTCTTTTCGAAATTGCCAGATCTATCGCCTACAACCATCCTTGAATATGGCAAGATCTACTTGAGCTCCGGACTCCTCTTTGTAAGCAGATTGTTCATCTGGCGGGGGATATGGAAGAGGTTAGATGCTACGCAGATCACATGGCCGGAGTCCCTGATGGTTGGTGCCATTTCTTGCGTGTTTCTCAGCATCATGCAGCTTCAAGTAGACAGAAAGAGGGTCGACATTCTACAGGTTTCCCTGGATGTTCCAGGCGAGCGGCATGCTCAGCAGACATGGCACGGCTGACGTCACACGACGGATGATGGCAACATGGCCTCTTGTGGGAGTCTGTGAACTGAGGTATTAATTGCATGCTTGCTCGCTCAGGCTCTCTCTATTCCGACTACTCCTTGATAACCTTGTGCTTGGGACCATTGGATTCAGTAGTGTAGAAGCTCACATAACTGTCCATGATCAGACTACCCCTATTCTCTGTGTAAATATTGCAACCAAGTGGCGATCGATCATCATGATAATTTGCATGCATCCCCTAAGTACACCTTGTTCGATCCTTGCGAAAGAGTACGACACGTCGGTCGGCGTTGTTGCTTGAGTTCATGGGCCACTGAGATGCTCAACCATTACCAAGTCACCTGCACAATGTTCGCCTCCCGAGTCCTTCTCACTCGGTTCCATGATACCCCGGGCTTTGCAGGGGGATCAATCAATTTAGTTTACTCAAAGTTTAGTAGCCGCATGCCAAGTTTGCACATTATCGCTCACTACATGCGCGTTCAACTCGGAGGGCCTGGCACAGCTGGCCGACGGTTGCCACGGCAAATCACTGCCAGAGTAAGGATCGCATTCCGCCGCCCCACCGCCCCGCCGGATGTTGTGGCTTGGACGGCCTGACGGTCCGAGGCTGGCAATCATCACTGGCCGGTACGGTCGGGGACAGTGTGTCGCGCGGGCCAAGCATGCTGGGCTCAGAGGTCGTCGGGGTCATCGTCGATGGAGATAGAGATGGCTTCCTTGGCTCTGACCGTGATGTCCCGCATGGCGCTCAGCATCTCCCTCGCCTGCTGCGCATCCTTCTCGTAGTCCTCCTTCCTCGTCTGATGCGCCTCCAGGCGTCGCGTCAGCGTCGTCGTGAGTGTGTGCAGAGTCGACTCAAAGCCTTCAGTGCTCTCTTTGCCTTCCGCCGACGCTGGAGATTGTAGTTGCTCCCGCTGCCTCTCTGCGAGCTGCAGCCGCGGTTTCACCATGCCTTGCATCTTATGCACCTCACCCTCCTTCCACTTGAGAGTATTCTTGTTGGTCTCCTCCCACGATAGCACCACCTGCTTCTTGATTTCCTTCTCGTACCCCCACGCCCCGCTGAAGACCTTCCTGCCCAGCCAAGCGAGGGCTCCCTGAGACTCATTCAGCACGGGTTTGACCGTTCGCTCGCACTTGATCAGATGCCTCAGCATGCCGGTGAGAGGGAGTAGCAGGGGCTCATCGAACGTGTCCTTAGACAAGCCCAGGCCCCCCCCTCCCTCTCCTACCTTGGCGTACGCGTCCAGAGAAATCTTCATGTCTTTCGCGAGAAACTGCATCATGGTCCTGTGAGACTCCAGCCTCTCGTTGAGACCCTCAGCAAACGTCTTGTTGGCCTGCTGCACCTCGTCGTACAGAAGCGTAGCCTTACCATTGAGGGCAACGATGACTTCCTTGACCTTGACCTCCTTGCTCGCCTCGTCATCAAACACCAGGTCTTGCTCATGGAAGGTCTCTTGCAGGATTTCATCCACCGCTGCCTTGAACGTGTCACACGATCGCTCGGTGCAAGCTTGACACTCATGAATCATCTTGGAGATATCGTCGCTGAGAGACTTGTTGGCACCTGTCAGCCGTTTGATCGTCTCTTGTATGTCCGAGAGGATTTTCTCCGTCTCCTCCTTGTTCTGGGTCACGTCGTTGGCTCGCAGAGCAATGAAGACCTCAAGGTCCTTGTTCGTTTGTTCCAGCTTGAAATTCGCTGCATGCAAGGCGTTGTCACCGTTCGGGGAGCAGCACTGAAGGAGGTTCTGCTTGAAGGCAGGCCAGTGGGATGAGTTGACGATCTCGTTTGCACGCTCCTCGAGGTTCTTGTCCGTCAGTTGTTCCTGACTGGGCAGGATACCAAACGCGAACTTGGAGAATGTGCGGAACCACTCCTGGTCCCTGAAGTGCGGGGAGCGAAGTCTTACCGCGTCAAGAGTCCGCATGGCGAGACAAGCGAGACGAGCAGAGCCAAGCACAATCTTGTCTCGGTCCTCGATCATCATCGAAGCAGCCACTCGCTCTTTCACTTCCTCCTCGTCCATCCCACGGTCATCCTTCTCGTCGTACTTGTTGACAAACACAAGAAGTCGGTTCTTCATGATGTGCGGGTCAAACTCGTTCGTCTGCAGGATGTCCTCGTACATCTCCTGAGCGGCGGCACTTCCGATCTGCGTGTAGTCTACCACCAGGATCACTGACGTCGACATGTTCAGCTGCTGCTTGATCATCTCCCTGAACTCGCTCCTGTTGCTCTCGTTAGGGCCAGGAAGGTCTAGCAGCGTCAGCCGATGGCTTTTGCTTGCTACTGGCCAGTTGTCGAACGTGGTCTCAATGACAGGGAGGTTGTCGAGTCGGACGAGGAAATGCCAAGGGAGATTGAGCTTGGCAGCCAGGCACTCCCGCACAAACCAGTTCACACATGACATGTATCTGTACACCTCTGGCAACGAAGAGCACGCCGCAAGGTCGATGGCAGTAGAGGCACGCTTCCAGCACTCTCGCAGGAACTCCAGGTTCTGATCCATTTCCGCGCTCCTGGGCTCTCTCTCTATCGACACGAACTTTTCCAGCAGATCCAACCACAGGTCAGAGTTCTGAACTTTGATAACCGTCTCTCTCCGATCGGATTGTCGTATGAGCACAGGGAAAGCTGTCTCCGCACAGTTGCGGTGCGGCAGTAGCTCTTTGCCGACAATCATGTTGATCGTTGAAGACTTGCCAGCCTTCATCGTTCCTGTAACTGTGAATAGATCTCCGCCGATGCTCAGTTTTAGCTTCTCATTCTCAAGCCTTTCATCGCACTTCTTCTTCTGACCTGCGTCGATAAAACCTTGATCTATCATTGTCTCGATCAGTCTCAGGTAGTCATTCAGTGATGACAACAAAGTTCTTGTATTGTCATCCAGGTTTTCCTCGAGTAGAAATGGCTCGCCGACATTGGTAGCTCCCTCTGTCCTGGGGATTTTTGTGCTGGGTCCGGTCTCTTCGGACTCAGAGCTCCTTTTGTTTGAAGATGACTCCTGAGAGCCCTTGTCCTCCATCGCTCTCAAGTCTGCCAATCAAATCAGAAAAGATATGCAGGATCAGTATTCACATGCCAACGAGGACTATCCGACCACCTCACAGGGAGCTATCCGTAATCTATGTTGTGATTCTGATCTCATTGATTGAGAATTTTCTTGATATGTGTCTGAATCACTAGTGAAACTTGTGTATGTCATTCGTGCATGTTCGCTCGTGCATGCTCAAGTCCCTTCATGTCGCTCCGCCTATCGTTCGCCGATCGTATCCCTCGTTGAGATGGGTTTATCCTCCGTGGGAAAGAAGTAGGTAGGGTAGTCACAACACCCCCTAGGGATAGTTCATTCAGCTAAGAAAACATGATGCAGAGGGTGGGTGATAGGAAGAGGGGGGTGGTAGTGAGAGTTCGGGGGTTTCTGCTTTTCCTAGCTGGGCCCGGCCGGTTTCCGGTGAGAGTGACTGAAGGCGTACGGTCGGCGATCTGAACGCCTCGAGCTAATATAGTAAATTTTGGTAATAACTTAATCAGGTAACTACGTTACATCTGCGACTCTCCCGAGAATAATGCCGCGTCAGCCGCAACATGGCTGTGGGGCAGAGGGAGGAGGAGGAGAGGGAGAAGAGGATCGGACGATGGAGATCGCAAAGACAATAGCAGAGTGCTGAAGGGAGGGAAAACGAAATAGGCGGAGAGCTGTTTGTCACAAGAGGAGATCAGTGCAGGACCGTAGTAGCAACTATCCTGACCAGGTGCGAACGGAGCAGGAACGGGTTCGGGGAGAGACACCCGGTGCTTTGACCGTGGCGTGCCAAGAGGAAGCTGCTTCGGAGACAGAGCAGGGCAACAAGAGACCCCGGATGGGACTGAGGCGAGGCTGAGTGACCCAAAAGTGACCAAGTTCGTCAGTGTTTGCTCTGCCTGAATTCGGAGGACGGGCGATCGAGCGTTTGAGAAAGAGTCAAGCAGTTTCCATCTGGGGTGAGGGGCTTGCATCTGCTCGAAGACGAAACCTGTCAAATTCTCTAGCATCGAGCGAAAATTCCGAACACCCAGGAATACCTGGACATCATGAAGGCGATGAGGGGGGTCCAGCTTGCAGCTAAGGGGGTAGGAGACGCGTTCACGGGAGGGCGCGACCTCAACTCGCTGCTGCATGCTCTATACTCGACGACAGTATCAGTCGAAGCTTACTTCAACCAGCCGGCTTTCCAAAAGGTTCTCCCGCAAGAGCTCTGTACTTGGGCCTCGAGCCTTTGCGGAGAAGCAAAAGAGGCTCACGAGCGACTGCGCAAGAAGATCGAGCAGATGGAGAAGGATGGAGTGCGAGGGGCAGCTGAAAGCTCCTTCCATGCTCTCTCCTCTGCTGCAGGAGCCATCACCGGCATCGCCATGCTTGACGTCGGGCGACACATTGCAGACGAGCTCGTATCGATGACAGCTGCCCTCAACGACATCTTGGCACGAGCGACGCGGCTCGTGACCCTTCACAACTCCATCCTGCTGGGTCAGATCATGGAGAAGTTCGGCGATCAGCTCGCGGACCTCCCGGTCGTGCAGCTGGACTCGCGTCTGACCAAGTTTGAGACCGACAATGTGCGTCCTCGCCTGTGGGTCAAGCAGGTGGAGGATGGCAGCGTTGTGGCTGGGGAGAAGCTGATCGTGTCGTGGGAAACGGTCGGGAACGTGCCGGTAGTGAACGTGCGCTTGAAGAACTGCATGGGAGTAGAGACATCGAGGGGAAAGACTGTCCTACGCATCACGAGCGAGCAGGGGGAGCTCAATTCCAGCCCGATGGAAACGACCATCCCGCTGGACTTCATGCCGGGTAAGTATACGCTCGCAGTGTCAGACCCTGCAAACAACATCCGAGGAATGACCTTCGTCTCCGTCCTCCGCCCCGTCTCCGTTGCCGAGATCTCCGAGCCCTCCAGCGGCATCGGAAGGACTTTGAGCTGGAGGATTCCGACTTGGAATAGGGGAAGCGTTCACACGATACGATGGAAGATGCACAGGTAGTGATGAAGTTGTTGCAGAAGCTGAAGGCAATGCCGATGATGGTGTTGTGAATGGTGTGAGTGCTGTGGAGAATGATGCTGATGTGAAGGATGAGGACGATAACAACTGTGAGCTGAGTGATGGCAGCTGATTTCTTCCTTCAGGGGAAAAGCAAGCCTTCTTGTAGTTTCGATTGCTATTGCGCAGTCGTCCGATGGGCCTTGGAGGGTCTTACGCGGAGCTTCAGAGGTGATGCAGGAGCAGGAGACGCAGGGATACTGACGTGGGCGAGAGCAGATGAAGTTCAAGGTTCCTGACAACGACAAGCCGTCCGACAGGACTGATCAAGAGCTGCGAAGCCCCGCAGTGGTAAGAGACAGAGGAGACCTCAAGAGTGTTGCTGATTGAAGCAGCAGCAGGTGGCGGACATGTCGCTGGGCGGGGATGTGAGTGAAGTTCTATTTTGTGCGTTGTGATGACATGAAGGAAGTTTGCAAAGGAGTCGGCAGCGAATAGAAACTCAGTACATCACTCAGACAGCGAAGACGTGAGTTCAATCGTTATGGTGGTGGTGGTGGTGGTGGTGGTGATGGTGATGGTGATGGTAATACTGATGGTGATACTGCTGGTGATGATGATGGTGATAACGACTGTGACAACGATGATGGCGGCACTGAGTTCAAAGTTCTCTTCTGTCTTGCAACAAAGCAACATTGAAGTCAGCCAACGACACGAGAGTGCAACATGTTGTCAGCAGAAATGATAATAATGATTTCAATGACATTGATGATGTCGACAATCCTGATGACTCGCCTGAGTTGTTGTGTATCCCAGGACAAGGACGCCAGTGTAGTCTGGGGCCCTCAGACCTCGTCAGGTGAAGAGACCGAATGGTTTCTTGAGGAGCGAGCATCATCCAAATCATCTCACGGAAAGCAGCTGGTTGGCAAATGTTCTTCTTTTTCCTCGCTATTTCTCTCTCCAATCTTTCTTCCTCCCTTGTTCTTCTCTGCTCGGTGCCGTTTCTTGCTCTGCTGCTCTGCTGCCTCTGCCTCCCCCTTCTCTGCCTCCTTGTCTCTCCGTTCCTTTTTGAGCCTTACAACTTGCTCCTCAGGTGTCAAGCTTCGGCAACACGTTCTCGGGCTTTCTGTCTCCTTGGCACTCGGATTCTCATGCTCATCCTCCTCCCAAGCAGCACAGCAAACCAGTCGCTGAGCCAACCGACGATTTCCTCCTCTCCGACTCCCATTGCCTGGACTGCAGGTCTCTTCTCTCCTCCTCCTTTTCACCGTCACTCCTCGTCCTCACCTCATGCTCGACCATCTATTTGCTGCTCGTCCTCCTTCCTGCTCTCCCGGCGTTTTGTCTTCCTCTTCCTCCCTCTCCTCACCCTCGTCGTCTCTCAGCTTCGACTGGTTCGTCCCCATCGAGCTGGAGCCCGGCAAGTACTTCTTCCGCATCATCCCGGTGACCCCGAGGACCTGCTAGGGAGCGCGTGACGTCAGCGGCAGGTTGGAGCCTCGGCGACTCATCGGTGGGGGGAGAGAGAGCAGCACGTGCGGTGCAAGGACAGCGGATTCGTTCACATCTCTTGAGTTGTATGCTGCCTGCATTTTGATCCTGCAGTTGCGATTTTGATAAACAGCTCGAAAGATAACAGCGCGAAAGATAACAGCTCGAAAGATAACAAACAGCGCGAAAGATAACAGCTCGAATGATATCAGCTCAATCATTCACAAAGCGATAACCGCTCCTCTGCTGCTCCTTAGCTGCTCCTTTGCTGCTCCTTAGCTGCTCCTTTGCTGCTCCCTTGCTGCTCCAGAAGTCCCTGAGGCGGGCAGTGCGAACGGGTTTAGTTTCACTTGAACACCGGTAGTTACTAGGAGGGCGGGGAGGGCGGGGAGGGTGGGGTACTAGAACAAGGCTTGTAGGGTGAGAGTCGGAGTTCGGAAGATGGAGAGGAGGGAGGAGAGAAGCAGGAGCGAGGTAAGGAGCGGCGACAATGCGGGGATGAAGTGACCACATGCGTCGCGTCTGAACATGAAGTGACCACATGTGTCGCGTCTGAACATGAAGCCTCGATACACTTGAAGCGTTTGACTGATTCGTTGATCGCTCCAAGAGTGATGTGGTCGTAAAGTTCACCTTCATGTGTATTTGGTGTACACCTTCGTCTTGGCGAAAGAAATTTCATAGATGAATGCACATGAACATGTTATGCAGGTTCTAACGGACCATCACCAGAGTGACGTGATGAAGGTGGTGGCACAAGTTGTCAGTGGAAGGCTCTGGTTTCTTGACGAGTCAGGAGTTTGGTTCAACGACACCTTCATCATCAGCAAGGGAGTGCTACGCGTGGTGAATGAGCATGATCATCTTCCGGTCATGGTGCAGGAGGCGCTAAGGTTGGACATGAAGCACGTCGGAGTGAAGGTCAAGCCAGCAGGCGGCATTGCCATGGAACAAGTCAAGATGTGCCTGCACGGCAGCTTCTCGGGGTTTTTCTATGGGCAGGGCATGAGAGATGGAGTGCGTGGGATCAACATCATCAAACATGACGACACTGTGCATCAGTTTGCCGTGGACACGCAGGAGGAGCAGCAGGAGTGGGTGACGAGCATCAGGAGGCTGACGGAAGGCGGATATTCCTCCTGCTCCTCTCCCCTATCCGACGTCGATCCCATCACGATCAGCAAGAGCTGCGGCATGTGTCACGTCCCCTCCACTCGCCTGCACGAGCTCACCGTGGAGAATGCGAGCCTGCGATGTGCTCTCATGGCAGCTCTCGACCGACTGAAGCTGTTCTCCTTCCCAGAGCCAGCAGAGGAGGCGGGGCGGGACGAGGAAGAAGAACAGCTGCTGAAGGAGAGACGGGTCGTCGATGTAGTGAGCGAGGAAGAGCATGAGCGACACGTCAGAGCGTTGAAGTCGCAAGTCAGACAGCTCCTTCCTGTGGCCCCTCCTTCTCCTCACCCATGCCGCACAGATTCACACGCAGGAGGAGGAAATTTCATGCTTGTCGTCAGAGCTCGCGCGACACCGTGAGGCGTACAAGGAGCTGGAGCTTGCTCTCATGGAGACCTCTGAGCGAGTGAGAAGCTTGTCCCTTGAAGGTTGCTGAGCTCGCCTGACGCCCACCAGGTGATGGTGATGGAGGAGATGGTCAGCCGCGCGTCGGTGAGGTCGCGAGTAGCAGCTGCGACGAGATGACTGGAGGTGGCAGGAGGAGAGCAGGAGGAGCCTCGACGAGCAGAGCAGCTGCATTGAAGCCTTGCATGCTGCCGGGGAAGAGATCGAGGCGGGGTTGGAGTATCTGAGACACGAGCGCCAGCAACTGGGACGGCATCAGGTCTTGGTGGGCAGCATGGAGGGCATGGAAAACCTCGCATGCGGCATTGAGCTCACGCTCTACTCGCTGTCAGCTTGTGTCTCTCAGCTCGAAGCTGAGCTCTGCTTGCACGTGGAGGGGGAGATGCATGGGGCAGCGCAAGATGCAGCCAGGCAGCCGATGCCGCGGGGTCAGCAGTCGGAGACGGGAGGGACAGGGCAACACATGAGGGAGGATGGGAATGGAAAAGAGGTGCCAGGAAGTCAGAGGAGACCTGAAGGAGTTGATGAGGATCCTCGGGCTATCAATCAGAGCGTCTTGATTCTGAGCAACGAAGTTTCTCAATCTCAAGCTGACTTCCATCAGGTCTTTCTCAAGCAACGACTCTCACTCAAAAGCTTGACAAGTCGACTCGCTTCTCACTTCCTCTTGCCCTCTTCTACTCCCATCGCCCCCCCTGCAGATGCTCCCTGGCCTGCATCCTCTTCCCCTCCCCTTGCTGACGTCGAGGCCTCAGAGCAAGTACCTGCTTCTCGTGTCCTGCTTGTCTCTTTACCCTCCTTCATCTCTTAACATGCTTCTCGTGTCCTGCTTGTCTCTTCACCCTCCTTCATCTCTTAACATGCTTCCCTTGTCCTGCTTGTCTCTTCACCCTCCTTCATCTCTTAACATGTCTCCCTTGTCTTTGGAACCTTGACTCGCTCCTGCCCTCCCGCCCCGTGAGCTCAAGCTGCTCTGCTCCCCATCCTCCACGTTCCCGATCCCTCCTCAGATCCCTCCTGGTCCATGGCTGAGTTGCTCTGCTACATGCAATCGAAATCCAGAGGCAATGAAGAAAAATAAAACCAGAGAAGTGGAGTGGTTGGAGAACAGGTCAATGAGCGAGAAGTTCAAAGTCTCAGTATGAGCGTCATTTTACATCATTCTTACAAGCAAACAATATCTCGTCTTATCTTACATGTCTTTCTGCTTCTCTTCTTACTGTACATTTAGCTCACTCCCGTCAGGCTTGCGGGCTCACGCCGAACACACTCAGCCCTGCCTCCTCCCCCATGTGCTCTGCATCCTCCTCCGCGAAAAATTGCTCGCACCAGAGCTCCCCGTCCCTCTCAAGCTCCGACTCCTGTGTGCTCGATCCCTTGGCACTGCCTTCCCCTTGCTCGATCCCTCCTGCTCTCGCCCTCTTTGTCGGACGGCCTGTTGCTTCCGGACCTTGTGGGGCGATAGCGCCTTGCAAACCACGAGCAGCTAGGAGACAAATCAGACTACCCGCAGGTCTCTTCCTCACCCTCACCTTTCCGTGGGTTCGCCAGAGACTCCGCACCCTCTGAGTTGGCAGCTATTTGATTCTCCTCTCCTTGCATGGCACCTGCTGGCATGGTGAGGACGCGAGGAATGATGGTGAGGAGGGAGTGACAAGGCAAGAGACAAAGAAGCACTGAGTTTGATCGTAACATCGGGAAGGAGGTTGTGGGTTGTGTCAGAGCAGGAAACTGAAGTCATCTGGATTGGAGGCAGAGAGAGGACAAGGCAGTATTTCCGAGGACGAGATTGAAGTTAAGAGCAACGAGAGGAGAGGGTTGGAGGACAAGATAGCGAGAACAAGCAGCCAAGGGTTCAAGGCAGGGAGGACGGACCCATCATCGGAGGCTGCATCATGACGCCCATTGAGCCTGGGGCTTCAAGTCATTCGCTAATATCTCGTCTGCTCCTTTGGCTTGCTTACCCGTCACTGGCGCTGCTGCCCACTGCTCTTCACGAGGAAGCATCCCTTCTATCTCCAGCTGCATCTTGGCCATCTTGTCCAGCAGTCATTTCACCTCCAGTCATGTCCTTCTTTCTCACCTGCATGGCCTGGTGCATCAGCGATGCCGCGCTCGCGCTCTCTCCAGGCGCATTCGCTCGTGGCACTCGCTGCATCCTCCAGTTGCCTCCCCTCGGCACAGAGTCCGGCATGAAGTCTGCCATCCCGACCCCCCGGAAGTTGGAAGGAAGCGGCCCTTGTCCTCCGCTCCACTGAGGTTCCATGCTAGAATGCGCAGAGTTCTGCATTCCATTCATGGGCATCACCTGCTCTAAATGCATCAGCTGACAACTTCCCCGAGCCTGACGCCTCACCATCTCGTTCCTGGGCATCGGCGGCCCCTGCCATCTTGGCATCGGCTGCATCCGCATTGGCATACTTGCAGGCATGACATGGGGAGCAAGAGTCGTTGGCTCCACGTAAGTTAACCCAGCATTCCCGCGAGGACCCCAGCTCGCGCTCCTGCCCTTATTGGCGGCATGACTCCTGCCGACCTCATTGGGGAGTGACTGGAGCGCATAGGAAGCGGAAACGTCTGCTTGTTCTGAGAGCAACATCAGCAACAACATGCACGTGTATCATAGCCCACCGGCTGGCGCACTGGCTTGTCTAGATGCTGACCACTGCATGAAATCCCGTCAACGGCAGTCAAATCAAGTTGCATAACCGTCAGCGTACCTGGTCAGGCTTGTGAGCCACTTCCAGCCCTTGACCTGCCCTGGTGATCTTCTTCCCATTGTCCGAGCCGCTACGAGCAAGACCTGCCTGGCGTCACTCGCAGCTCAAGGAGGCATCGCTCGTTACCCGTTGGAGGCTGAGGCTCTTCATCCCTCATGCTCCGCTGGGTCGGTTGTGGTTCTTGCAGGAAGAGATCTTGCGCGGGCCCGGAAGTGTTGCGCTGGTCCACTTCGTCTACTTTGGCAGATTTGGATCCTTTGGACACGCCCACTGGTAGTCGGGAAGCAGCCATATGAATAGTTCTCCTCCAATCCTCTATCTCTTTCTTCCACTGCTCCTCCTTCTGCTGCGTCATCTGCTGCAGATCATTTTCCAGCCTGTCCATCTCCTCCTATTGCAAGTTTCACGAGACATTAATCAAGTGCTGCATCAACAACCTGATTCTGCATGAGAAACTTTTTCGTTTCAAGCTGCGATCGGCAAGATGTGAGCCTTTGCCGATGCACTTCTGCAAGTTTCTTTGTGGAAGCCAACTTCATGCTCATGAATTCCTCTCGCTCTTTTTCTGCAAGAAAAATCACCTACTGAGAAGTTACTTCATGGTACTAACGTATTTCTTTGAGCTTGAGGTCTTCCAGGTGTTCCACGGCCTGCCTTGTTCTTGTCTGATTGTTAGGGGCAGCGACCTATTATTGAATGAGCATGAAAGGCAGGTGCAAGTACTCTCCACAAAATACCCTTGGCGAAGTCGATGACTGCTTCACATCAACAATCCCTCGGACATCTGTACTTTTCTTGCTCCCAAGGTTGCCCTGAGAGAAATCTGGCCCTGCTGGAAGTAGATTTGCGGCAGGTTGTCCGGTGTTAGCTAGCTGAGAAGTGCTCTTTTTAGCAATGTCGATCTACAAGGAAGACGAATCAACAGGGGTCAAACTTGGTAAAACCAGGCGAACACACCTCTTTTGTCTCTGCACTGTTAGCGAGATGGTTGAGGGGTCCATTAGGCTGTCTTTATTCGGAGCACGGGAAAAAGAAAAAATTAAGTTTTCTTTTCCCCGGGTTTCAAAAAATCCGAGGTTGTCGAAGTCGCACTTTATTCGAGCATTTCAAATTTTCGAAAATTAAAAGGTTTCCCGCGCACCAGGGAAGACGCTCCATGCAGGCACCAGCGAGACCAGGCAGCATGAAGCCCTTACAAGCCAAGCCTTATGTGAGGCTTATTGCATGTCTTACGTTCCTTGATGTGTCAGACGGAGGACTACGGAAAATTGCAGAGTTGCATGTCTTACTTGAAGAAGCATATCCTAAGCATGTTCGTTATTTCCTGCAGAAGCATGGTAGTGAAATACCAGGTTTGACAGAGGACTTGTTGTTGTACAAGTCAAGAAATCAGCCTTGGCCAGGATCCAGCATCATGGAGTTTTACCAATCTACTAAAGATTTGATAAACAACCGTTACAATCCCGAATTCCTGGCTAATTGCAATCCTGACGGCTCTTTGCCGTCTGGACGAAGTCTGGAAGAACTTCGCATGGCAACAAAGGAGCAGTTGTGGAATAAGCACCAACTCGAACTTGTCGCCAAGAATATGCAGTCATCGCCTTCCGAACCTCCGCCGCAGACTCCCGATCCCCAAGAAGCGCAGGAGAGTCTCGCCGAATCACCTGAATTGTTGGCAGAACAGAAAAAGAACGGAAGTGGGCGTAGAAAGCAGACATCAGTCATACCTTTCGATGTCACCAACCCTATTCACAGAGATTGGACCCCATTAGGTTGGATCGCATGGCTGCACCTTGGATTGGGTTCTCCAGAACCTCATGATAAGTTTTCACTGAAACCTAGCGGAGGCGATGTACCTCCTGCACAGAATCAGATGACACCTGACTTCCATCAGCGTATGTCGAGAGGCAGATCTGAACAACGTCGGAAATTGCGAGAGAATAATCGTCCAGCACAAGAGGACTTGGGACGTGGAGTCACAGACCCACGTGCCTCAGATAGTCTTTCCAATGTTTTCATGGCTGCAGTGGATAGACTCATGTGTCATTATCGACAAAGTCATGAACGCACACAGATGGTCAAAGAACGTAACCAGATGATCCACGAACGTACACAGAAGATCAACAATCTGCAGATGCTCATGCAAATCACAGCTCCAGGTAGTTCCGACCACGCGCAGGCTAAGGCAGAACTCGTGCAACTTTTGAAGGGTACAGCTGACAATGACAACATCCCAAGTGTGGCTGAATGGGAATGTGCGTCTGGTACACCTGGCTCGTCATCGATACCACCTGCGTCTGTGACGAATTCCAGGAACATGGGCATTGCATCTCCTGTCTCATCTGTGGTTGCCACCCCTGTATCTCTGTCGGACGAACGTATCTTTACGAATGATGTGATTGGAACGACAGAGAATTGTTCTCCTCAATCACGTGTTCGTGCAAGGCCAATGGATTTGGACAGATTGTTCAAAAAAAACAGAACGAACAATGTGTAGAAGGTCACAACAGGAATTCCTGACGCAGATGGAAACATCCATCCAGTGTGAATGAAATGTTACTGAATTCTCACTCGATTTTATTGCAGCATCACCTGGAACTCTCGTGCCGTCATTTCGCTGTCAGTATTCCACAGCGCCGATAGCAAGTGCTTCTTTATAATGAAGAATCAATGCGCTTTGCAATTCCATCCAGCCACTTTGTATACTCGTAGTCAAATCTTGGTCATTCTCAAGAGGAAGTCGATGATGGGAAGACGATGATACAATAGGTTGTCGAGGAAAGGACTCACGGTTATCCATACCCTCATATTCCTCATCCTCCGTGTTTTCATCAACCTGAACATCGGCGGCGTCTGCACCATCCGTCGTCTGTGCATCATGCGCAAGGATGATGTTCTGAAGAATACAACAAGTTATGAACATGTTGTCCACTTCATCCTTGTACCAAAAGTTGCACGGTATTTTCACACACCGGAAGCGCGACTTCAATCTTCCAAAGAAGCATTCCACATCCTTCCGACATGATTCCAATGCTCGAGACCACTGTCGTCTATCAGGATCCACTGTGTAAGGTAAAGGGCATTGTAACACCCTCCAACGGTGATAGCCTTGATCCACCATGATCCACAATCCTTTGTGAGTTTGTACACGACCTCCACCAACATACAAGTCAAACTCTTCTTGCGCATAACGAGTTCCCTGATGCACGGATTGCAAGAATGAATAACAACATCCCAGCGTCTCAAGCGCAATCCGTGATCCGCCTCCTCTAGTTTCCCGCCCGTGGCCTCCTGCTCGCTCCTACACTTGATATGCAATTGTTGGATATTTCTCTTTGCCTTTATACGACGGAAGATCTTGGGCTGGACACTTGTCCCAGGGAATATGTACACAGTCACATGACGCGATACATCCGGGAAAGCCTTTCTTGCGATACATCTCTGTGGTTTTGAAGATTTCATCCGGCGAGGTCGGGGGGTGGACATACTTGGGATACTGCTTTGCCATGTTTCGACAGAACATGTGGAAAAAGTTACGATTGGATGCCTCACATGCCCCATTCCCTTCACGGATATTGTTAAAACTGTATCCTCCTCCTAACACACGCAGAACACCAAGAATCATGAGTTCAAGGGACGGCATGGGCTGCCCACACACGTTGGTGATCTGATCATGATACCATTTCTCTTCACGAGCCAGTTTGACAATGTCAAGATAAACAGGATATGGCAAACGAAAGCTACGCCTGAATTCTTTGGCAGCACGTGACGATGGATCAGCAAGGGAAGGATCTTCCAGGAGCACAGCCCACCTCGATGCTGCATAATTCCTTGGGAGCCGAGGCTGCTCCTCCACCCTTCGCTTCTTTCGAGCTCGTGGAAGAGGTTCAGAGTCATGCAGTGACTGAGCTTGTTGAGTGACAATGTAAAGTCTCATCAATTCAAGAAGACAAGCAACCAGAAACAAGAACTCGGGGTCTCCAACATGAACATTGTCGCCGTCAATGTCCGATGGCGACGGCATGGCTTGGGCGGGAATTATCTTTTTCAAGAAATCCAGAGCGGGAAAAAGAAAGCGAAATTTCTCCCGAAATCCAGGTCTGGAAAAAGAAAACTTTCTTTTTCCCCCCGAATAAAGTGGGGGTTGGGAGAAGTTTTAGGGAAAAGTTTCATATTTTTCCCTAAAACACGTCCGAATAAAGACAGCCTTAGACTGCAACCAGCAAGTCATGAAAAAAAAACGGAGAGAAAAGCAGGAGGTACTTCGAGCTGTAAATCATTCCAAGAGCATTCAGAGTTGCTCAAGAAGAAGTAGTTATAATGCTGCTCACAGAGGGCTCTAATGATTTTTTCATCATCAGGATTCGCCGCAGATTTTCGCAAATGAAGTTACCTCATTTCACTGCAACTGTCCTCGGGAACAAGTTTGTTTTGACTCCAGACATTTGGAAGTCTGCATTCTGTATCAGATTCGTCTTGGCTCAAGGGCATGCTCTTTGACCTCATGACATTCAGTACAACATTGTTCTCTTCCTTCTCCAGTGCAATCGAGCACACCTACACATTTCAAACCATGAGGGATCTTGTTCTCTGATCCCCGCAACAAGTAACCTGTGGCAAAAGCTTGACAAGCGCATCTGCTAAAACCTCTCTCCATTTATCATTCTTGGGCGATTGCTATCACGCAAAGATAAAATGTTATTCTAGAATTATAACGACATGGTGTGCACCTGTAGTATTTCGTTTGCTACGTAAAACAATGCCAAACATCTCCTTGCTTGACCAGTGGATACATTTTCCCTCAACGACTCCACATACATCTTCCCAAAATATGAGTTAAATGAAACATGGAACATGCGAAATCACCTTGTGAGCAGCACTTTCATTCACTGTACTCAGCTCCAGGAAATGTTTGGAAATATCAACAATCTGTCCAAAAGTCAGCAAGCTGTGGGGCATGAGAGAAGAGAGCAGAGGACCTTGGAGTTTGAATAACTGTTTAAGCCCCGTATCGACTCCTTGAGCTTCTTCAGTATCTCCAAAGCATCCATCACGCCTTTCTTCAACTCCTCCTTCACCCTCCTTCAGTCTCCGCTGAACTGAAAATAAATCGCTAACCGGGAGATGTGTGAGATATCTAATCCAGGATATTCAAGGGGCTTTCTTGATCATTTTCGCACCAATACCGCGAATGTGTCACTGCAACTAACAATGTGGACCCTGCACTGTCTTGGTTCCAGCACCACGCTGCCAGAGAATGCTTTTTTCCAAGTCGATTGGTTTCTGTGAACTTTGAACAAGTTCAACGGTATTGTCTCCACATTTCAAACCTATGAGTTCCTCCTGTGCCACATGACTGTCAGTCAGCCTGGTCGCACCGGCATGCAACTGTCCGAATATTTCACAAACGCTCTGTCTATGTTTCACCACCACCCCTCCACCACCACCTCAGGCAATGTTTTCGTTACCAAAAATGCGGTTTGAGAAAGACGACCGAGGTCACGGAACTACCAAGACTGTCCCTCGGAAAAGTCCGGGGTATCACGCTACGTCATTCTAGCCTCAACCTTTTCTAACATGGATTATTGTATGTGCCTGCTATGCATACTTTCCTTTCTTGATTGTTCCATTTTCATTCCATCTTTTAACAGGAGGGACCATTCATCCACACTCACAAGTGACACTCCTTCTCTGCATACCCCTGAAGTCAGACTAGGAGTTCTTGGGTTCCAACCTCCACGTTTCTGCCAGTGCCCCCTTCTCCCCTCCCCCTCCTCCCCCTCCTCCCCCTCCTCCCCCTCCTCCGCCGCAACATTTCTCGCTCGTTCTACATGCTATCTTTGCTTACACACATGAGATATCAACATCTACTTCCATTGCTGCCGCGTCAGCTTCTTCTCTCATCTCTGCCCGTCACCATCTTGAGAGCTTTGAGGCCTCCCCTTCGCCATCACTTGTGCCGACCCTACCCCCACCCTCTTGTCAATCCGCATACACACTTGAAATGTGACCACCCCTTCATCTTCCAATCTCTACCTACCCCCGTTACTGAATACATGAATACCTGCACCCCACCCCTGATCAAGCTTTCTGCAGGAACCCCAAATGTCTCTCAACTACCACCCCCCTAGTGGTTCTGACATTTTACCTGATGACCCACGTTGCTTCCTATCAACATACCCACCTGCAACTGGTGGACTTATTCATATCAGACCCCACCCTCAATCTATGATCATATAACCCCTCCATAGCTATCTCCAATCTCAACACCCTCTTTTCATACCCCAGACTTTGAAGATACCCACCCTAGACAAACATTTTTAAATCTTTATACAGTACCCCTACCCCAGAATTTGGAACCTTGACCGGTCTTTGCTCGAAATACATATGCCTCGAGGGGTGGGTTCACAAGCCGGGGTAGTTGGGTGGAAGGGGTGTTGTGGGGCGTCTGCAGAGGGGTCTGCAGTGCAATCTGAATCGTTTGCCGAGACAATGAGGAGTACCAAGCTTTTCCTTGGGTAGTCGAGGAAAGGTAGGGTACTTGGACGGGAGGGTGGTGAGAAAGAAGGGGGTGCAAGAGGGGGGGATCAACATAAGACGAGGGTAGAGAGAAGGAGTCTACTGACGCAGGGGTGACAAAGGATAGGGAGACGTGGGGGAAGAACCACCGTGGAGATATGGTGGGTACTCAACTTGAACCAGGGGTAGGGTAGAAACCTGAACATGTCAACTGATGGAAACAAGGGTGGGGTAGTGGAGGGGGCATAATTCAAATGGGGGTTATTACGGGACACATCTCGTGGAAAGTTTCTTAATAGCAGAAATATAGATTATACTGACTAATATTGTCTAATTGTGGTATTGTAATAGAGTATTTCTCTTTTATTTAAGAAGCCAAGGTTTATTTAGTCGAAGACAATCTCGTTTGGCTGAGCTGTAGGCGAAGGAGATGAGTACTGAGACTTTTAACAGTACTTGAATTTCATACAAACTAGTACTAAAAGATTGTGCCTCAAAAACTCTTCCATAAAATTAACATTATTATGACCGGGCATACAGCCGGGTATGCCCGGTCATACTAGCAGACATAGTAATAATCGTATGTCTTGATATCAGAGGCCTAATAAGGGGATGGCTGCATTACATTTTAAAAGTATTTTATTACCCGCACTCTTATAAGTCTATCTGCAGTGCTTTCTGGTAATAGAATAGAACTCAGTTGAGTAAACATTGTATAGCATGTGAAACCCAATTGTAGTACCATAATTGTAGCTTTATGGTCGCGTGACCTCGGGCCGGAGACAATCTGTGTAGTAAAGAGGCGGACCCGGATTCCGCTCCCTGCCCCGAAGAAATAGATTAAAAACAATCTTGTGTTTCTACAGTAGCGGTTTTCGCTGCCTCCTTCTTTTCCTAGTATTTCATTGAGGCGGGTTTGTAGGGTTTATCCTCCCCCTCCTTTGTTTGCTCCGGTTTGCCAATAATAAAAGAAGTTTGTACATGATTGCGTCTGATGCTTCTCAGTGCTACGCGTCTGGGAGCGAAAAGGGTGAACTCAGAAACGCAAAGGTGCTGGATTGCTGCATAATGACAGTCATCCCTCTCTTGGTTTCTAGATCATAGCGATGCAGCAAGCAGAAGGCCTTGCCGAACATGCACAGCAGGAGTTTCTCGTCAGGAATGCGGAGAAGAAGGCGGCATGGGACTTGGTAGCGGCGAGGAAGGCAGAGCTTGATCAGGCTGAGCTGAGCGGGGATAGAAAGAGGAAAGGAGAGGCTAACATGAAGCTCTTGTCTGCCAGGCTCGCTGTTGCCAGGCTCGAAGCAGACGAGAAGAAGAGAGTGGAAGCACGCAAGCAGGTCTGGCAGGAAGAACATGAACTAGCTGGGCTCGAAAGAGACACTGTGAGGGAAGCATTGGCACTTGTGAACGTGAGGAAGGCAGAGCTTGAACTAGCTGGGCTCGAAGAAGACCAGAAGAAGAAAGCGGAGGCTGAGTATTGGTGCACGGATGCAGAGCTCGAATTGTCAGTTGCAACTGCGAAAGCATCGCTGGCAAAGGCAGAACGGAATGATGTTGGTCGTTGCACCAGAGAATACGATATTGCATCTTATGCATTGATTTCGCATCGATTCGATGGGAGAGAAGGAAAGTTTCTTTCAGGTGAGAGTTTATGCCAGCCCTGAATGCTTTTGTTCTCATTTGATTGCTAGTTTTGAACGATATCGCCAAAACCATCAATTTGAATGAGGTTTTGATCCGGTTGAAGGAATTCGTTCAAAACTCTCTTGACTTTGCATGGACTTCGGAATCCTCACGGGTGCGACCCAGCGAGGAATTCAGCAGCTTGAACCCGATAGACCGAATAGTTGAGAAGGCAAAAACTGATCAAGATCCTTACTTGTGCATGATTGAGGCTTGCTCTGGCTGTGGTAAGTCACTTACCGCCGTTGATTTCTTTGTCCGGAATGCAGATGTAAGCATCTATTTTCTCTTCAATCCTTCGCAGAGGGTAGATACCGTGCAAGATATTTACGAGCCAGTAGAACAGATCACGCGACTGATAAACAAGGCGATTGAGTGCGATCTTAGTATGTTGGCAAAGAGCCATGCCGGATCTCAGGGAACCGCACCTTTGGATGCTTTGGAGGTTGATTTCGCTACGGATGGAAGGAAATTGCATTTGCTGGGGGTCCTCGCCTTCCTGTGGTCCGAGGAGACTACCTGGGCTCCGGTATCTGTAAAAGACGCTCAGAATTGGAAAAAACGGCGCTGGGTACTTGTGGACGAGGTGATTCCTCCTCAGCAGGAAGATACGTGCATTTTCTCAGTGACTGCAAAGATTGTTCTGTTGAGGCGAGTATTGATCAACTCAAAAATTAACTGCATCCTGTTGGGGACGAACACAATGGTGATGAATTTGGGAATGGTCTCGCAAAGCTCTCAACACCTTCGCAATAAGGTGCGAAGAATATACTGCTTTACCCATCGCTCGCTTCCTCCATACATCCTGCCCTCAGACGCTTCTGAAGAGGTCATGAATAAGGTTTTCGGAAAGGCACAGGTACCCAAGTTACTGGACCACGTGAACCCATGGACCTGCTCCCTTTTCTTGCGCGAGCTTGGCCGAGTATTAGAAAACTCCAAACCACACATGCTTATACAAAGTGTCTCGAGGACGCTGTGGCAGCTTATCACAGCGGCAAAACCAAGTTTGAGGAAGGAGTCTATCTACTGCATGTTTCAGATTGCTGCGCGTGAACCTGTTTCTCAGTTGCACATCTCCCAGGGGTTTGCTCTTTTGAATGTATGGGGCAATTATCCGCCACCCCGAAATAGTGAAGAGGCAACCGTTCTGCTCGATCTTGAGGACAGGAAGCCTGCGCTGAAGGGTACTTTTCTTTCAGAGCTGACATCGAGGTTCGCCTCTGCAGTTCTTGACCCAATCACGACAGTGGCTTGTGCGGGGGGGGGCATGCCTTTCTCTCATGCATCAGCACTTGAGGTCTTGCAGAAGATTCATTTGGATCAGAGGATCGGGCAGGAATCTCTGAGCAGAGATGCGTGGAAGCGGGATGGGAATCTGCTGGAGTCGTTTGGGGCAGTAGTTGTAATGATCAGCAGCTGGTCTCCCCCTCAGGATCTCTTGAAGAACTTTGCTTTTCATTGCGGTATGAAAGACGAGAGGAAAGTGGATGATATTCTTGCTTCTGTTGCAAACAAAGAAAGCTTCGTTGAGATGCTGACGTCGTGCATGTGCAATCTGGTCCCTGTAAGGGAGAGCGAGTATGAGCATTCCCTTTCCGCAGTCTTGGGCTCCTACGTGCGTAACAAGGACATGAAAGGCAGGGACGGTACTTTCTCTGGGCCAGCTTCCAAATGGAGAGGAGGAGCAAAATTCAAGAATCGTTCGGCCGAGTCTCCTTTGCAAAGTAAGTCGTCCGAATACATCACAAGTCTGCTTTCACATAACCTGGATGTCAACATATTCATGGTTGCCGAGATGTCATTTGACATTGAAGGTTACATGAGCTCAATGTATGATGGCACCGAGTGGCTGGTATTGCATCTTGAAAACAAAGGAAAACAAAAGTGGACCGCCTCGACATTCCGCCGCCCAACAAACAAGAGAAAGAAAGGCGAAGCAGATTCTGTAGATGAAAGGATGGTGGAGAAGATCCTGCGCAAAAGGGTGCTCATCGTTGTGGAGATTGGAATGCAGACAATGCCATTCTGTGGTCAACAGTGCTAGGTGGCAGCCTTCATATCGGTGCACTCCAGACGTGAGGACATTCGTGATGAACTTTGTTATTCTTGATACAAATAATTTGGTGTTGGTTGCCAACATTGTTCAAACCCTCCGAGCCATTCCTCCCCTTCGATAACAACATCCCAGCGTCTCAAGCGCAATCCGTGATCCGCCTCCTCTAGTTTCCCGCCCGTGGCCTCCTGCTCGCTCCTACTGCTCTCCATGTTGGCCTTGGCAAGCAGCTTGTCTGCCTCGACTTCACGGCAGTTTCCTCTGTCCTTCCCTCTCGCCCTCTCTCCCACACAGTCACATGACGCGATACATCCGGGAAAGCCTTTCTTGCGATACCACTGAGCGTCTCCAGCCTCTGGACCATCTTGGAGCAGCAAGTCAGCGATGAGTCAGGGGTTGACAGCATCCGATAGCCATATCAGAGAGTTTCGACTTGGCGCTAGCGCCGACCTTGTCCAGAAGCCAGGTCCTTGAAGTACTGTGGAGCATCGTTGACGACGGCCTTCAGGCTGGTGGTTGGTTTGCTCCATTGTGCTATGCATGGACTGGCCCGATCTACAAGCAAGTGAATGGGCTGTCCGCTCCGAGCTCCGAGGATGCTTGTCGGGGCGTTGAGGCCAAGCTCATCTCCTGGAGACGAATGGTAAGCACTCTACAGAGAGAAAGAGTTCAGTGGTGATGTGCCGTTTTTGACATACGATTCTTAGTGGAACTCGACCACACCCTGTCTTTTCTCGAAGGCCGTTGGAGAGGTCATCAATGGCCACCTCCTCTCCTAGCTTCTTTGCTCGCTTGTTACATCAGCAACGCAACGGAATCACTCTCTAAGCGCTGCTCAGGATGATATGATTCGATTCCGACCACCCTGGTTCTCTACTTCGTCTTGTCTGCTGGGTCGTCGTAACTTTCCCTCTCACCACTCCCTTCTCCTGTCCACGTCCTTCAACTATCCTCTCTGGGCCCTTCGCCGATTTGTTGTTTGTTCTCAGTAAAACTTGATCCGAGTCACTATCCGTAGATTCCTGATCTGCCACTGAGTCAACGTAGATGCTCAGGCATGTCCCATTCGTCAATCCCATCCCAATCCCCTTCCAAGTCACTGGTCGTTCCCTGGGGGATGGTGTGAAAACCACAATGGAGTTCTCCGCAGTGGGAGACACCATGGGTGTGCGGCAGATTGGACGGGGCCTCGGAAGGAGTTCCAGATTCGCTCTGTGATGAGAGAATGATGATCACTGCTGGCATGGCAGTGGATACGGGAGAGTGGGTATGGAGGTTTAAATATTCTCAAAACAAATTGAAATGCATACCTTACACTATCACAAGCCGTCATGAAAGCCAATGACTTCATTTAACTCCAAACACAGTCATGTTCACCATGCTTCAAGGGCATGATTTTGTATTTACATGCTACTCAACGAACTGAGATTCAAATCTTGCATTATTGATCAGTACAATGAGAAGAGTCCTCTTCATCCACATGACAGTACACATAGATTCGAAGTATCTCATCATTCAAATCGGTAGTCGCGCGCGAGCAAGGCATCAGTTCGCCATCTCTTGCTTGTTCAAAGTTCAACGGGAGGGGGAGGAAAAGTAAGGTTTAACTTAACTTTGAGTAAGGAAAAGGGGTGACCCCTTGTTTGTCTGGTACAATAAATTCCAGAAGTGACTACTACCGGGTACGCCCCGCGGGGCCCGCCGGCCGCGCGGGCGCCGTACGGTCACCGGGTACCGTACCGGGAGTCGAGTCTCAGTCTCGCTGATGAGCCGCTGAGCCGGGCTGGGCCCGGCAAACTTCAGTCACAAGTTTCCGATCTCCGATCGAATGATTTCACATTGAAGTTTGGCACTCAGACTGCCGCACCGGGTGTAAACTCGGAAGCCCGGCTGCGGCTTGCTACGCCGTGACAAACTTGAAAGCGGCCGGCGGCTGACCGTAACGGCACCCAGGGTGACCCGACGGTCCGTCCGGTACGGTACGATCGGGTGACTGTTCCGAAGTTCAACCGTACAGTTCAACCAGCCGCTGAGCGGCGTCCCGGATCCACGCACTGGCGCGGCCCGGGACAAGTGAACCGTGACAGTCAAAGCCTCCGTCAAAGGCCCTCTACTACTTTCTTTACTCAAAGTTAAGTTAAAAATCAGTACGAGGACAATCACTGATCAGGAGAGTCAAGGAGGCTCCGCTTGACCGTTCAGTACTCAAAGTTCAAGTAAGCCTGACATTCCAAACCTTTACTCAAAGTTAAGTTAAAAATCAGTACGAGGACAGCCCTGACACTGTCGCACTGGCCGCCAAACGGCGACCTGATTGACCCGCCCGTTGACACTTGATTTCATAGGAGTGACGATAGGACTGGGAGGACAGCCGCTGCAACCGTTGAACGCCGCCGGTTAGAGATAAGCCTCGATCCGATGGCGAGGAGTTAAACAGACGGTCCGTTGAGATGAGGTGCCCCTCATTTCCTACTCTTGTTCCCTAGGTGATTTATAGGACCTTCCTATGACCCCTGAGACCTCTGCGGTGATCGAACGCGACAGAACACGATTTCGAGGATTTTGAAAAGCGACAAACACCTTTTCGTTTAATATAGTTATAAGGCTTCCCCGTTCCTTGCCCATCATAATTCCGTTCACCCCCGCCCTCCGGCTCAACCGCCCTCTTCCCATCCTCGGAGCGAGATCTCCCACACACCCCGGCCTCAAAATCCCTGTCCATCAAATCTCGTCCTTCTTTCCCTCACTGTGTCTACGCGTCTGCTCAAAAGATCAAGGTTCCACGATGAAGCTTTCGGAAATAACACCAAGGGGTCAAATGCTTGTTGGTTCCAACGTGGTCGCCACATTTTGTATTGTTGCGGTACTCCTGGTTGCTACTACAAGAACACGAAAATGCCAACAAAGCAAAAGAAATTACGAGCCGAACGCCCAAGAAAGATCGAAGATAGACCATGACCTCAAAGAAATTTTCGCCATCCTCGATGATGCAGAAAGGATGGGATATATCCATGTCACGAGCCCACCAGAGGAAAAGCATGCAGACTGGGAGGTGATCGGTCAATGGCTCACCTGCTGCAGTGTGTATGTTGCTGCAAATGTAAACATTTTTCATCGTGCGCATTCTCGGAAAGTAACTTCCAAGCATCAACACGACGCTCAGCATCGTGTTTTGTCTCGCTGGATCGATATGGACTGAAGTGCTCAAAGTACAACTTTATTCTTTTCTACATTTTTCCTTTTCTACCCATCTTTCGTTTTTGAATCTCTTTTTCTCCCATGAAATAAAAATCGTCATCGAATTGATTGGCAAATTTCTTGCGGAGATTGTCACCCTCCGAAATCAAAGAGGGTATTGTTCGTGCTGTAACACACCGCAAGCCATTGTAGTGTATTCACTTGAGAAACCTTATTTCTAGCTGCTTGACCTGCAATTCACATGCATGGGAAGATGGCTGCCAACCTTTATACAAACCCCTAGGGAGCTATTATACATTCTATACACAATAGAGTAGGATCGTTTTTCTTGGACCACTTAGAGATCTACCCATTTCGAATAGATTCTATCCACTTGCTTCATTCTTTTCCGTTGAAGAAAGCTTCTTGACATCTTCTTCCCAGACTGGTGGAAAAGGCTGATCTTCAAGTACTGCCTTGCTTCACATACTTTTTGCCCAATGTTACGCTTTCGAGACCCGGCAAACTGTCCAGAGCTGCCCCATATCTTTCTTGAATGTATCTGCTCCATTTTGGGAAATCCTGGGGACGTGGAAAGTTTCTGCTGCGGATATGTATCTGTCAAGGTTATGCTACCGTTGCTGACTGCCGATCGCAATGTATCCCACAGTTCTACCTCGTCTCTATTCGGTATACATGAAATGCGAATTTTCGCCTGGTCTTCGTACAAAAAGCCCGTTACAACACGGAAGATCTCTCTCAAGCAAAAGAATACGCACTCCACTACTTGCATAAAAGGACAAATCTTTGAAAACAAAAAAATGTACATTGAATCATTCTTGGCATCGAACTTTGGATAGAACGATTTGAAACTGTGCTGATGCTGTGATTTTCTTTTGTAGAAGTTTCTGCCACAATGGGCCTGCGGACTTAGAATGCTCATCACTGCTGAATAAGCCTGTTGATTCGACAGCGCCGACTCAATTGGTAGTAAGCTTGTGTGAGTTGAGGGGAGGACAAACGCAGGAGGAGGAAGAGGAGGAGGAAGTTGAGATGGAAAAGGAGGGTGTGCCAGAATAAAGTGACAATCAGAACAAGGGGTGGTTGTGGAGAACAGAATTGAACCGGAGGACTAAACTGAGGGGATGGGATGCAACAATCATAGGGTACCCGTACTTGAGATAGGGAAGTCGAGGGTGACTGTGCGACAGGAATGCTTTTGAGCTGTGCTGACTGGAGGTTTTGGGCGTGATATAGCTTTACTACCTTCAAACTTCGAAAAATACTTGTTTTCGGCACGAAAGATGCTTCAGCGACTGTCAGCAATACCGAAACAACTAGTTTTCGAAATAATCTCGCGCCCATCCGCACACCCAAGGGTTTGACTGGTCGTTGGGGTAGGAGGAGGGGTGATGTCCAACCACAGTCAATTGAAGGGGTACATCAACACGCGCCTCACGTCACGCTCCAACTGATGACTTTAAAACTGACTCAGGGCCGAGTTTAACGGCTGACAGCGTATCGCGAATCCATGAGCGAACGAACACTTTTTGACATACATAGATTTAACTTTTTTGCCAAAAATATCCCTTTCCCTGTCAAACAAGCATTGCTTCGATATATATCAACCTGACACGAACAATTTCATTTTGGAAACATTTTCCTTCAACAACGTTTCAAACCATTTCGTCATCCTGCTTTGACCTATATTTTTGTGGTACAAATTCAAATACATTAAAAAGCAGTTTTAATCTCATGGATACGGAGAATCGCGAACGTCGTTCGCGATTCTCTTTATTACAACACAGCTTTACCACACGATGATCACGGCCTGCTTACATTTAATAAATGACATTGTAAATATATAAATCCACTTATTTCAAATTTACACATTGTTTGGAAATTTTATAATAGTTATAAACGTTTTACAATATTTCTAAAACGTTTCGTTGCGTTCGCAATATTTTCGCGATACGCTAACGGACGTTAGTCTCGGCCCTCAGTGAGTCCGGAGTCCACATGGCAGCGGCGTGGCCGGGCGCCGCGGCGCCCCCCCCGGGGCCGGCCGGGCGGCCCCTCACGCAGAGGGACCGTACGGTACTCAGGGCACGGTACGGTACTGTAGTACCGCGGCCCGGCCGGCCGGGGGCCGGCCCGGCCTTGGCTTGAACCGTCACAGTGACTGCCATCAACTTGCGCCGTGCCAACCGTAACGGCCCTCAGTCCCGGGCCCGCCGGCCGATCCGGCGATCGGAGGGGGGGGGGGGGAGGGGGGCAGTGACGGCGCGCGGCCGCTCAGACGGTACGGTACGGTGACTGTGACCGGACTACTTACTTACTAAGTTAGTACGGTACTACTGAAGTAGGCCGCAAGGCGGTCATCAGTACTAGCGGCCGCGTAGACGGTACGGTACGGTACTCCCGTACTACGTGTGCGACCGATGGCGGCCATGATCATCTTATCACGATGCACCGTGGCACTGCACTGCACAGTGACGGGTGACTCGGATACCGTACCGTCATTCCGAAGTTCAATGCAAATGGGTACCATCGGCGATGATCGGGTGACCGTACGACGGTACGTCACGGTGACTGTGACGGTGGCACTTGAAGCAACCGTGAACGGTGATCAAAGTTAGTTGACCTTGCAGGGTTGAATCATAAGCAAGCCCAAGCCAAAGCAAGCCAAACTTAAAGCAAGCATCAAAGCAAGCATCAAAGCAAGCAAAGCAAGCAAAGCAAGCAAAGCAAGCAAAGCAAGCAAAGCAAGCAAAGCAAGCAAAGCAAGCAAAGCAAGCAAAGCAAGCTTAATCAAAGGTTCCGATCATTTGTCTGTGACGCTTGACTTCAAATTTAATATTCACTTGTAGTGCTGCATTACGGTTCAGGCGCACTGGCTGCGGCAAGCAGATGAGTTGGCAAGCTCGCGTTGAAAATTTGTGTAGCTGGTGAATCATCCCAGTTCAGCCAACCATATCATAGCAGTATGTTTTACTCAAGATCGATTTTATCTGACAACCTCTTCCCTCTGCCAGGCAAGCAATCCCAGCACTCCCCCCCGCCCTCCTCGGTGCTTGCATGGATGTACTGCTCCGAGGACGCTGAGATTGCCTGCATGAAATGTATCCCCTCGAATACGTCCATCCAGTCACTGGAATGGGCTTGATCCAGACCAATGTTGAAGTCTACTCGAAGGTTTTTCTTGTTGGTGACTGGACATGCTGTAAGACTACTAGAGCCGAAAAAATCTTCGAAGATCTTTCTCGGCGCTGGTCTGCATGGGGCATGCATAATGCGCGTCTCGATCGAGAGGTCGCTGTTGTCTTTGTTGGCCATTAAGGAGAGTACTAGCGGCGATGGCACAGGTGGCTCAACTAGGTCAACGAGATTCGTACTGCGGAGGGATGATAGCAGGAATAGGGAGGGGAAGAATAGAGTAGAGACGACAAGCCGCAAGATGGAAGAGGGAGGGGATACAGGATAGAGTGGAGGCAGGACAGAGTGGAAATAGGATGGTAGCAGTGTCAAGAGTGGGTGAATATCAAGGAAGACGGAACGGAGAAGACCTGAGGCTGCAGATTCTTTTAGTGCGAAGTGGGTATGCCCAGGGGATATCGCTTTTCATTTAGTACCGTACTTAAAGAATAGCTGATCTTGGGGTAGCAAGGTAAATGGATTGGAATGGAAGGGGTAAAATGCTCTATTTCAAGTCTTTACTACCAGACTGATGACAGAGGGGAACAAAAATGGGGAAAGGGGGCAGTGGATACGCCCCCCCCTGTACCCAAGGTTGGAGATTTCTTAAGTGAAGCATCAAGAAAAGTATCAGTACTGCCAGGCTCTCCAGAATTTGCTAGAGCTCGTTTAAGCCTTCTTTGCATACAAGGATCGCCCCGTTTTCATGGGAGTCTTGACGTTTTTATCCTCCACTAGTTGTATGGTTCCGATACTCAAGCTCTGTCACACGGCCGCCGGTGACACCGGGTACGCCGCTCAACCGCCGTCTCTTCCGTCGATATCTTTGAGGCGCGGCGTGACTGATGAATGAGTAACCGTCACGTTACTCAAAGTTAAGATAAAAATCAGTACGAGCCTCGGAGGACAATCGGCCAGGCCCTGAGAGTCGAGTCGGAGGGCACAGCAGGATTAGGTTTGGTTCTCGCTGTCTTTCTCTTCTCGCCGTTTGGCCTGTGCGACAGTGTCAGGGTCAAGCCTCCTCGACTCTCCTGATTGTCCTCGTACTGCACGCTTAACTTTGAGTCACCGTCACATGAAAGTCGTCGGCGGCCGGGCCGGGAGGCTTGACCCTGACACTCAGTGACTGTCGCACACTGGCAGCCTGGCCAAACGGCGAGAAGAGAAAAGACAGCGAGAACCAAACCTAACCGTAACCCTGCCGACTGCTGTCCCCCAACTTGCAAACTTAACCGTCTGATACCTAACGGTCAGTGAGTTCACTGGCTTAACTGCGCGCCGCAGGACTCCAAGTCCGGGAGTCCCCGCGCGGCCACCGTGTGCCAGCAGTGACACCATGCGTTGTGCTCAGTTGGCATTGTGCTAGTATCCGATCTGTGGCCGCGGCCCCACACTGTGACAGTCACGGCCGGTCCTGCCCCGCCGGGCGACCCGGCGGGCCCCGGGCCCGGGGATCCGGCGCCCGGTGACCGGCCCGGGCCCAGCGCCGGTGGCGCGCGGCCCACCGCCCGGGCCGCGGCGAGTCCGATCGGCCGGCCCGGCGCCCGGATCATCGGATCGAGTCAGTGAGTACTAGCCGCTGACTCAGTGAGCTGCACTGGGTCGGGCCGGGCCCGGGCCCCGGGCCCGGGCCCGGCGGCTGCCGCGGAGCCTCAGCCGCGTGTGCGGAGCGAGGCTGAGCCTCCCGGAGTCCGGCCCGGCGGCGGGAGTCCGGCCGTCCGCGGCGGAGTCACGATCGGATCCACCTTTTTTTTGTCGGATCATGTCGCCGGGCCGCCCCGGCGGTGCCACCGGTGCCGGGCGGCCCGCCCGCCGGGGGCCGCCCCGCGGCCGGGCCCGGCCTGGCTCAGCCTGCAGGGTGCCACGATGATGGTTTCAGTGAAACCAACCAACCAGACGGAAAAATGGCGGCCGTGGGCATTGACTTGGGAACCACGTTCTCATGCTGTGCGATCTTCAGGTATGAGGGCTGGAGAGAGCAGCAGGAGACTGGCACAAAGCATGAGATGGAAAACGCCATGAGACACTTATGCTCTTGTCGGAAAAAGTTTCCAGGGGGGCAGAAGGTTTATGGAGAAGGAAGTTGGCTTGTGTAGTTCGTGCATACTCACGGCAGAAGAAATGTACAATGCATGGACGGCTTTGCGTGAGTGTAGTAGTGAGGAACCTGCACCTAGAGGTTGATACACGTCTGAGGGAGGCATTGGCATAGCATGCAGCGTCCGGCGCACTTTGATAACAAGATGCTGGCGCAACCCTGAAACATGCGACAGAGACAACAGAGTTGAGGTGATCCCGAACTCCGATGGAGGGAGGACGACGCCATCATGGGTAAAGAGTCGCATGAGAAGGTAGCATGCTGCATGTAACGTTAGTTGCAACAGGTCAGTTTCGTGCAAAGCGGAGACTGCGAGCGGCTGGTGGGAGTCACAGCAAAACATCAGGTGAGACGTTCTGATGTGTCATGGTTGTTCGTGCTGGTCGTGACGATCAGCTCGAAGGCGGCCAGTAACCCCAAGAACACGGTCAACGACGCAAAGAGGCTGATAGGCAGACTGTGGAGTGATCAGGGACTGCAGGTAGGCATGCTGCTTCTGCTGCTGCTTGAGTGAGATGGACGAGGGGGAGGGAGAGGAGATGAGGAGGAGACGAGCCAAGAAGTGGTGCATCAGATGCAAGAGCGCCACATGCATCGCGAGAGGAGAACAGGAGGAGAAGATTTTGAGAAAGAAGAGAAGGGAGGACGAGAACAAGAGCAGGGGAGGATGAGGAGGGGTAGGAGGAGGAGGCGGACGGAAGCTGAGGTTGAGTGATTGTGCAGGAAGACATGTCCCGCCTGACCTACGACGTCGAGGAAGGCGAGGAGGAGAAGCCGCAGATTGTGCTGACGGTGAGAGGAGAAAAGAAGCGGTTCGCTCCCGAGCAGATCTCAGCCATGGTGTTGGAGAACTTGAAGAAGTCTGCCGAGACGTTCCTCGGATGTGCTGTAGAGCAAGCGGTCATAACAGTCCCTGCACACTTCAACGATGCTCAACGACAGGCGACGAAAGACGCAGGAGCGATTGCTGGGTTGAAGGTGATACAAACGATGGAGGAGGAGAGAGGAGGAGAGAGGAGGAGAGAGCAAGAGAGAGGAGAGGATTGAAGAAGTTGCCTGTTGAAGTCAAAGTGATGCAGAGGAAAAGGGGTTGCGAGTGGAGGGCGAAATAGTTTTCGTTCTTGTCCTGCCAGTCTGCATGCATCCGTTTATGTTTTTCTTCTTTTGTATCCTCGTCCTCGTCCTCGTCTTCGTCCTCGTCTTCATTCTCGCCTTGTTTCTTTCCTTGTCGCCAGGATTTTATTTTGAGACCGTCAGGTTCTTCGAATCATCAACGAGCCGACGGCCGGAGCCCTCGCGTACGGTCTTGACAAAAAGGAAGGGAGTGACGGGGGGAGAAAAGTCATCATCTTTGACCTCGGAGGAGGAACTTTTGTAAGCGCTCAAAGGAAAACGTTGATCGTGGTGGTGGTGGTGGTAGAGATTATTATGATGAAGACGATGATTGAAATGGCGACGGAAGTGACGATGGAAATGATGATTGAGATGATGACAGCTTGACAATGCTGCTGATTGTGATGAAGAATGCAGTCATTTTATTTCTCATGTCTGTTCACAGGATGTCTCAATCCTGGCAATGGAGGACGGTCTATTCGAGGTCAAGGCAACAGGTAGACTGGTAGAGAACAAGAACGAATGATGCTGCTTGTTTTGTTCGACATTCTTCCCGTACCTCACACCAACACCTCACACAAACTTTCATGTTTCACTGCCATCGTCGATCTCCCACTTACATCTGTCTCTTGCTCGAAGGTGGCAACACCCGACTTGGCGGAGAAGACTTTGACAGGAATGTTGCAACGTTCCTGGTCAAACATTTCAAGAAAGAAAACCCTGGCTCAACTGTGAGGCGGTAGGAAGAGGTAGAGGCTCGTGACGTAGCGCGCAGGTGAGTGAAAGAGCTACAAGGAGATTGTTGGCGGCGGTCGAGAAAGCAAAGTGTACACTCTCCGTGACAACATCGGCAGAGATTGAGGTGATGGTCTGAGATAGTGGAAAGGATGTAATGATGATGATCAGGTTGACTCGTTCACTGACGGCAAGGACTTTCATACCACCCTGTCAAGAGCTAAGTTTGAATCTCTCAATGCGGATGAGGTAGCTGCTCTTGTCTTGGTTTTTGGTTTTGTGATGTGCTGAATGAAAATCTCGTGATGTGAAGTGTTGTGTCGTGATTCTTTGTTTTTATGTTTTCTTGTCTTGTCATCCACAAGTTTGTGTCTTTGAATTCTCGATCTCACATCAGTCTCAGTTCTCTTCATGCATGGATGTCGTCAAAGCAGTTCTCAAGGACGCAAACATGCCGAAAGAAAGCATTGACGACGTGGTCCTGGTAACACATCCTCTTGTATACTATCCCTCTCAAGATCTCCTGTCTATCTCCGATCCAGTTCAAAGTGTTGTAGATGTTACTGTTGTTACTCAATCATGCTTCCCCTGTTCTCATGGTCTTGTGCTCAAAAGGTTGGCGGCAGCACAAGAATCCCGAAGATCCGTCAGATGCTCTCAGGTTGTCATTAACAAACTCGTTGAGAAACACTTCTTTCTCCTCTCCCTGCATTCTTGTTTCATCTTTGTTATCGTGACATAGGTGCATTCTTTATTTTCCCTTCCTTTTCATTTTCCCTTTCTTCCCATCCTGTTTGCTCTTTGTGCTCGTCCTTATCTTTCTCCTCATCCTCATCCTCATCCTCATCCTCATCCTCATCCTCATCCTCATCCTCATCCTCATCCTCATCCTCATCCTCATGATCATCATCATGATCATCATCATGTTTATCATCATCATCATCAATTTGTTGTGCGATCTCCTCTTCCTTTTCCTCTCCATCTCTCTTTCTCTTTCTCGCTCATCGTGTTCTTTCAGAATTCTTTGGCGGCAAGGAGCTTTGCTCTAGCATCAACCCCGACGAGGCCGTTGCTGTAGGAGCAGCGATCCAAGCCCACATTCTTGGTCTGCTCCTGCTCCTGCTCCTTCTAGTTAGATCTGACCGATCAGCAGCTAGCAAGACGGGTGAAGTTGTTCAAAGCAGCTGCACTGACGTCCTGCTTCTTGACGTGAGAAACAAGAACTCTTGCGTGATGACTTGTTTTTTTTCCCTGACTTGCCTTGCCTTGTCTTTCTCTTTGCGTTGATCGCTCATTCGATGCTCTAATTCTCTCTCTTTCTCTCTCTTGCTCTTTCTTTTTCTTCTCCTTCTCATACCTGTCGTCTCATCTACGTTTTTCTTCACCCTTGTCTTCTTCTCGTGTCCTGCCCTTTCTCTGCTCTGCTCTGCTTTGCTCTGCTCTGCTCTGCTCCTTTCTCCTCTCGTCTCTCTTCTCTCTTCTCTCTTCTCTCTTCTCTCTTCTCTCTTCTCCTCTCAGGTCACTCCTCTCAGTCTTGGCATCGAGACTGAGGGTAGAGTCATGAGCACAGTCGTCAAGAGGAACACGCCCATCCCCGCGAGCAAGCAGAGTGTCTTCACAACCACTGAGGACTGGCAGACTGAGATCGACGTCTGCGTGTTCGAAGGCGAGAGAGCATCTACTGACGGCAACCATCTCCTCGGTATTTCCTCCTCTCTCCCCTCTTCCTCCTGCTCCCTCTCTACCCTCCTTGGGTTCTGTACCTCCCTACCATTCCTCTTCTTGCTCCTCCTCTCTACTCTCCTTCAGCGCTTCCCCATCCTGTTCTTTTCCACCCTCCTCCTTCTCTTCCTCCTCCTCCTGTTCTCCCTCCTCTGCCCTTACTTCTCCTCCCTCCCCTCGCGCAGGCAAGTTCGTCATCTCGGGCGTCGAGCGAGCCAAGGCAGGGGTCCCCCAAATCCTCGTCACTTTCGACATCGACGCCAACGGCATCCTCAAAGTAGGAAGAGTTGAGGGAAGGAGAGGGGGGTTTAGGGGGGGGTGGGGGGGTTGGGTAGAG